TATGGGTGTTAAAGTTTTAACATCATTCCATTATGAAATTTTATAGAAATATAAGAACAGAAAAAAATAACCCATTGAAATCTATAATTAATTGTAGATAAAGCTTTTATAAATACATGGAATCACATTTAAGTTTATCATACTAAGTATGTTTTGATAATTGCCTTGGAATGGCCAACATAAAATATATTCATTTTATAAATTATATCTTTGTAAGATAAGAAACAATTGTTTTTAAAAACTCATTGTGTAAATCTGACTTGCAATCAAAAGAAAAATATGTTAAATAAAATGAATTTATATTTTGCCTCCATTAAACAAGATTGGAGCAAACCATATTTTTTCAATCTAGATTAATCAGTGAATAAACAATAACTGAATATAGTGGCTCCCTTTTATAAATAATGAAGTTAGACTCGAATCAACTTTTAAATGGATGTTGATAATGAATCACTGACATAAAATAAAAAAATAGGAAGCAAGATAGAGACAATTTATAATAAATAGTTATGGTATTTACTAGATTCATTAGTGAATTAAAAAATTATAATCCATGGTAAAATGGTTTATAATTTAATATGGATTAGAATCCATGGATTAATACTTCTTTATCCATATTTTTATTTTTAATAATACTTATATGCTTGCATATGAAAATATTTTATATATCATTAAGTCAAGCATTATCATCCTAATATATATTCGTAAGTATTTTGTACATAATTTCATGCGTTTTTTATTGTATAAAATGTTTATACACAAAATTACTTACTGATGTTTGTATTTATTTAAGGGAACAGATCTTCTAATTAAAAGTAATCCTTTTTTTTCTGTAAAACGTTCTTGTTCTTAAGATACTATTTCGCTGGTACTGGTAATAAGAGTCATTTTAAAGTTGAATAATGAGGTTATGTTATATTTGTGCTAAAAAATTCAACCATTACCTACATAGTTGTTTATATTTTAAATAATTTTTTATTTGTATTTGTTTGATTTAATAAAAAAGGAAATGAAAAATAGCAACATAACTTCAAAACTCTTCTCCATTATGATAACATAACCTAGCTAACCAGAACCGTCGTATGGCCAACAGCTTTATGGTCTTTGGAACAGTTAGAAAGAAGTAGTGTGGATATGACGTTACAACTAGAATGCCAACGAAACATACTCCTTTCTATTCCACTAAAGCAGTGCTCAAATACCAGCAGATGCTGTAGTGGGCATACCAGCAAAATAGTATCTTAAAGGGACTTGGTCCCAGGATAAAGCACTTTTTCTATTCTATTCTATATATATATATATATATATATACAATACATTTACATATCTTTATTTTTTTCTCCAGACTAGAAAATGGTTATTTGCTGGCAGATCATGTTTTCCCTCGAAAACAATACCATTAGCCTTGGCAAGAGGTTCCAACTGTATATGAACATCACGAAGTCCCCACGAAGGATTCTGAGCTTTAAGAGTTGCGTTAAAATTAACGTTGCTATCTGGTGTAATGGAGCCATTGAAGGCATATGGACCATATGTAAATAAATATCCCTCTTTCTTTAACAATTCACCCGCTCCTTTAAATAAGCCTGTAAATATTTAGTAATTGTGAAATCTAAATATTACATTTCAATTATGAAAATGTTTATTTATTTCTACAATTATATATGTGATATAACATTACCACAAAATATACTTAATAACAATATACATAAATATACATGTAATTTGAATAAATGAAATTCAATCAATACAATTTTGAGTACTATTATTACACATAATATTTTATAAATTTTCCAACAAAAAAGTTCATATGACGCATGGGTTAATTTTGAATAGAAATGGGGTTAGGCCTAATTTTGTGTCTTTCTTAAGGTGGTATCATTTTTTATTGAATAAGAAGGAATTGCTCAAAAACTATTTAAAGTAATTAAATTCTAAGTACACCATAGTAAAGTAAACAAAATTTTCATTGGGAAAACTGATTAAATTTACTTAAGGTTAATGATAAAAAGGACTTTCAGGTCAAAAACGGCCGATGTACTGCTGTAGTTACAGTACCCATACATGAGCAGCATATCTCTGTATTCCCAATTCGTACCCAGCAGTCCGTTGAAAACTGAGATTCAAAAATTTTCACGATCGCAATACTTTCCTTCACTATATATTATGCATATAGGTACTTACCTATATTTCACTTGAAAGTAACAAAAAAAGTTATCAGATTGAACCCATTTGTGGTCTTGGGTTCATTACTTAGATAATAGTATTGTTATAAGGCAGATTTTGCAATGGGGTTATTTGGTCATGACCACTAAGTTTTATTTAGTCGAACATCTAATTAAGGGTACCTAATTTATAGAGGCTAGGTGTGCCTCAAGAAGGGGTTTGAGGGTCTCCTGACCCTCACTTTTTCTTGTTGACTTTACAGACCTTGTAGATCTTTAGCTGCTTGAACTATTCCTTTCCACCTCTGCCTTTCCTGGAGAACTGCTTTTAAGTTTCCTGCATGCATCTCTGTTGATTCCATCTACTTATCTGATTTCCGTTCTCCCGAGTAATTTCTTGCCAACTATTGAGGCACCCATTGTTTCTTGCCTGGAGGCTTCCTGATAGATTGCTCTGAGTTATACTTGATATCATAAAATATTACTTGGCTAGTTTCTGTTAACAGTTCTTTAATTGGTGTTACTCTGATCTCTGAGGTTATTGTACTAATTTTACTCTCAAATTTCTTAATACTCCTTTCTGAAGTGCTGATAAGAACTACCTATTATTCTGTTTTTAAATTATCAATATTTACGTCTTTTTACAGTACATTATGTCATAATAATTATTACATGCTTGAGGTTACAATTAACTTATAAATGTTATAATAGTGGTGTGATTGATTTATTTGGTAGGAAACCTAATTTTATTCAGTAGGAAAAATCTACATGAGATATCAAGAAAATAAATTACAGACATTCAAGTAAATTGAACATAATATATATAATCTATTAACAAAAAAAAAAAAAAAAAAAAAAACACTTTCAATTGAATATGTAACTTATTATTTAGTGAAAACAATTTGGCTACCGTTTATTTATCTTTAATATGTCAAGTGGTGAAATTACAGTCAATAAATAGTATAATTCAGAGTTTAAGAATTTGAATGGTGGGATTTACAGAAACTGGCATAAGTTAAAAAAATATTTGTTTTTACTTATATAATAAAATATACTATTTTACTTATGAAAGCTGCAATTCTGATAGCATGGTGGATATTTTAGTGTATTTTGTATAGTTGTTTATAATTCTTATACATATGTTTTAAATTACTTCCAGATCCAGAAGAGAACTCCATATAGGAACAGAATAAGTGATTAAGGCACGAATTACTGCTTTACATAGAATCAGTTTTTTGCATTTAATTGGAAATATCTATTAAAATATGAGGAAATCTTTTGCTTTATTGCACTTGTTATTTACATGTTATTTATGTTAGTTATAGGTGATATTTAGGGACTTATCAAGTTCCAGGCCTAAATATTTCACTGAGTTAGACCAAGGGATGTATTGGATTTAATTTTTGTACAAGTTTTTCAGGATTTTATTACCTTTGAAAGGGACAAGAAAACTCTCTTTGCGCTAGTTATATGCTGGTCTATTTCCGACCGACTATTTAGTCATTTACTGAGGTTATTGTAGAGAGGAGATATTTCAATATGTCTACTCTCAGGAAAAATTCCCCTTCTACCCAGATCCAGTGGTTGGGATAGAATTATCTTCATTCTCAATTATATAAATATAAGTACTTATGACTTAGCTGGTTGCCACAAAACCAACCTTTTTGCCTTGTTTAACGTCTTTTTATCACTTATCTCTGCTTAGTTACTTCTGCGTTCTTCAATTGTTTTCATTTTTTTTTTGTTAATTTTTTTATTTAAAATTAATATAATAACACTTTGGCAATTGCCGTCTTTCAGATGAAGAAGCTGTGAAATACTTTCAGAAGTTTGGAATAATTCCAAAGATGAAATTCTGTGAAGGTCATCAAATGGAGTTTGACAGGAAGACCCAATGGAAATGCTTTCAAACAGACGAGTGTTTCATTGCAAAAATAAAAGACAGAAAAAAAAAAACTACAAGAATGTACTAAAAATAATATGTAAGAGAGAACCATTATATATTCTGACCGTTGGAAAGGGAACACCACCCAAAAACTAAATGAAGCAAACTAAAACCATTTTCAGGTGAATCACCGGTATAACTTTGTCGATCCTTCAAGTGGGATCCATACTCAACACATAGAATGATTATGGGGCTCAGCTAAGTGAAGGAATAAAAAACATCGAGGAACTGCGAAGGAACACCAGAATTCATATTTAGGTGAATTTTTGTGGTTGCAAGTACACAGAGAAGAGGATTTTAAATAGCATTCTAAATAGCTATTTTGTCTCCCAAAATAAATAAAATGGGTACTTGTCTGATAGCAGGTCGAGACGAAATCTCCCTTGTTATCTAATGTGTTGTAAAATTAAAGTGTTTTGTTATTGTTGTGGAAATTATTACATTTCTTTTTGTCTATTTCAATTTCAAATCAACCTGTTTTGTTATTATTACATATGTTTTTGTTTACAATTTCAATAATTTGAATACGAAGATAAGAATTATCAGTGCCTTATCAGAATTATCAGTTTTCAGGTTATAAACATTGGCAGATAGCAGTCGGTCCCGCCCGGCTATTAAACAAGTACCATAAAATGTTGTAAAATAAATGTATTTTGTTATTATTATGTTTCTTTTCGTCTATTTCAATTTCCATAAATATAAATAAGAAGGTAGGTATTATCAGTGTTGAGGTAATAAACAATGGCGGATAGCAGTTCATGGGGACCGGCTAACTTACAAGTACCTAAATATAAAATAACAAGACTAATACTTTTCCTTATTTTAGAATTAGAATTATAAAATAACAAATAAGAACAGGAATATAAAGAAATACATAAATAGTATCTTACCTTCTGAACATGCCCATTCTGAAATATGCATCATATTAACATTTAATATATAGTCTACTGATCCTGGTTCAAGACTTCCTCCTAACCACATATTTGGAGGCTCTCTAACATCCAAAAACTGCGCATCTTTAATATTGCCACTTGGACATTCAGCAACATATTCATTTATGCTCTTCAATGAAGACTTTTCTACCTCAGTGGGTTGGAAAGTAATATTAGTAAAATTGGGGGCGAAGTGTGATACATGCTGCCCAGAACCTGATGATATCTCCAAAAAGTATCCCTTTTCGCTAGCATCGATATACTTTTTAAGAGTTTGAAGTATAGGGTTCTTGTTTCTTTCAGCTGCTGGATGACGATGTTTAGCGGAACCATGTGATGCAAGACTGAAAATAACCAAACTAATTTATAGACACTAAGCAAGATGGCCTATTAATTAAACATATTAATAAATACAAATAAATGTTAAACATACAGTTTTTTGGATAAACTTTGCTAAGAACCTATAAGAAATAATGATTACTAATGACCAATTACATTAAGATTACCAATCATTACTGATGATTATTCTCATTCCTTATATGTTAGGAAATATTTTACAAGGTTTCTAAATAAAAATTTAAACTACAAATGTTAAACAATCTCAACATAACCATTTTTTTTTTCATTTTAGGATTTTTTTTTTTCTTCAGTCCTAGTGTTACTTTAGGTTCACATAACAGATTAAATAATGAAATAAGTGTTCTTAAAAAGATAGAAAAAAAAATCAATTAATTTGGATTTATATATTTTTTTTTAAATAGTTAAATAAGAAAACATGAACTGACATTTTACTTTTGAAGTATTGTTTTTCTATGATGAGTGTCAGAAAAAAGATATTTTAATTTCATCTTGGTTTAGTTCAATTAAGAAGTTCCGATCGAAATTTTTATTTCTTTATTTTAACACTTTTATATTGATATTCAGGAAAATATTTTATCAGACATTTTAAGAAGTGAACATCAATTACATTACAAAAGATTAATTATAACTTTATTTTCAGTAGACAGGAGCTATTGTTAGCAAATCAATAGTATTATTATAATTTTATTATAATAAAATAAAAATTAAGAAAGTTTAAAATTGCCAAACTGACCAATTAAAATATATTTTGATTAAATCCGAACCAATATTCTAATTAAATAGTCAAAACACATTTGTTAAATAATGTAATTCATATAATTGTGGGTTGATGGTTGACTGTAGCGAATAATTGAAGAGAAGGATAGTTGGGTTGACCAGTCAAAATAAAAAATAGCCAAAATAAATAAATAAATATTATTATTTTGTTTTGTGGTTTTCCTCTGGGCGAAATGCAGGGTGGATGTTACGGACTTTTTTAACCAAGTATACATAACTGTCTTTTTAGTAAATAAATACTTAAATATATATTTTTTTTCAATCAATCTGAAGCCTCTTGAACTTATTATATGAAACAGATTATTGGAAAAAAATAACTAAATCCACGAGTAAATTACTATATTTGTTCTTGTAATTTGTGATTTTTTTATAACATGAAACTAAATGTTAATAATTGAATAATTGGCATGAAATACAGAATTAAGTGGAATATTTATGATAAGAGAAAACAATGTTGTACTAATTGTTTTTAATGAAAAACAAGAAAAATTAATCAATAAGAAATAAATAAGATTTAAAAAAAAAAGGAGTTACCCAAGTTTATCACCAACTTGGATGAAACCTCCACACTGCTATCATTCATAATTTTGCTTAAAAACGATTTGTTAAGTCAAAAATAATAAAAAGTCCCCTAAAATTTGTAATGATGACAATTTCTGTGGAGTGAAGCTGAATTTATAAAGTATATCACTATAAAAACATTACTTTACATAATAATATATGCACTGGATGATAAGGATTTTTAAAAAATGTGTAAATAGAAATTTGAACAGATTACCAGTAAACTAAAAGGTACTTACTTTATGTAAGACTCATGTGAAGACATTTTGGCAGAAATTTTAATTCCAACACCTAGTTACAATAAGTTATTAGGATTTGTGAAAAATAAGAAAAAGAAATGTTAAAATATAGAAACTGTTAAGTAAGGATAAGAATATGACAAGTACGTTAGTTAATAAAATTCGCTATTATAGTTAATATATATGCATTTATGAGGATAAATTTTATATTTTTAATAGCTAAATGAATTAAAATAAATTATATTAGACATAAGTAAAACTCGCCTCTGAAACTGTAAAACAAAGTACGTAATCCAATAAATTTTTTAAGCATCGAATTTCATTTAATTTTAAATGAATAAACTATATTTCGGTTAATGTACGAAATATGAAAGAGAGCGACTGCCTCTAACACCGAACTACACCATACTAAACTCGCCCGAGGGATGCGGGAAAGAAGATAAATTTTAATAGATAAACAAACAAGTTGTTTGGAGTCGAGGACACCTCGCGAACAGTTACTTAGAGGCCACGAAATGAGAAATGAATTAGAACAGGATTTTGATATTCTTATGTCTGATGTATATAAAAAGTGATTAATTATTAAAAAAATGAAAGGTCGGAATTATGGAAACCAGAAATAGGGGATATTTAATTCCCGGGTTTCCCTATACGTTGCATACATGTAGAAAATGGTTGCCATGGCTGGAACTAGAGTGGTGTTTGAAGTTTATGTGTATATGTAAATAAGAAGTTTAAAGATGAATATTTTATATATTTTATTAACTTAATTCCTTTTGAGGTTTTTAGTTGTTTTTAGTATTTTTTTATACTAATTGCTTCTATCGTAAATCCCTCATGTAAGCCACTACAGAGAAAACAATCAGGTTCGTGTTATATTTATTTTTATTTAGTGCATGTTATTCAGTAATTGTTAGAAATAGTTATTTTGATAACTTAATTCAATAAGAAGTGACATTAGGACAAGACTTCATAAGAAATATACTCTTAAGCATTTCGTTTCTGTACTTCTAAAATTGGCATATAGGTTAGTCTTTTTATTGTATTTACACTGTTCGTATTCGGCACTTAAGTGTTCAAGTAATGGCATTTCTCGTGGAAAGTAATTGCTGTAAATAATATATTATTGTTATACTTTAAGCATAATTTATGTTCATTTTTTCATATTCTATTATGTGTTATATTAGAGGTATGTATAACTTGAACTCGATAATTTTCGTTATTTATGTTGTAATTTTATTCTTATTGTTTTTATTTTATCTGATAATGTTTTTAATGAGGGAGTATTCAATATATTTCTAAATTAGTTATTTACTTACACAATTTTAGGTAGTACAATTTATGTTGTTTCTGAAAGTAGATACTATGCTTTTATTCATCTTTTTAAAATGTTATTATTCATTAATATATTATGTCAAACATTAAGTTTTGTTAATAACTGCAATCATTTAAGTCATGTTTAATTTATACTTTTTTATGGTTTCAGAGGCAGGACTATGGATGATCCAAATTTGATGCAAAACACCACCAGTATTTCCCCTGAAAAAAAGGACATCATGACATCAGTATCGCCCCCTAAAAGAACTATAGTTCTTGGTGTTGTTAATACTACAGGCATGAAAAGTACAAATATCAATAGGAAAAGACGATGGGATCAACCTCCAGAAGAATTAAGTGGACCTCCAACTATAAAGAAGTTGTGCATCAGTGAAAATGAAGCATTTCCTGTCAATGAAACTGAATCTCTTGAAACAGCATCTGCTGTTTCCCCTAATGTTGACAGGATAAATTCACAGTGTGATAATATATCTGGTTTATCTAATCAAAGTACTCATCCAATGTTAGTTGAAAACGAAGAAATCTCTGTAGAATTACCACAATCGCATAGTTCTGACATATCAAGTGAAGCAAGTGCCATGTCAATAGACTTGCCAGAAGATAATAGTGATAAATGTAAACCGCCTCAGTGTGAACCAAGTGCTGACATTAAATCGTGTAGTGACTCTAATGAAAACACGAGTGAAGTGAATATTCTCGAATCTTGTGACCGCCTGCAATGTGTTGAAACTGTGAATCCTCCTACTAACGATTCAAGGTTTATTGTTAGTGATGTTACTGTTAACAAGGAAGCGCCTAGTGTTACTGTTCGGGAAACTAAAACTGTCAAACATGAGTTAAAAAGTAACGCTTCTGCAACTGTTATAAGTCATCAGTCTGACGAGCTTCGAAGGATAATGTTTAGTTATGATGAAGGTTCTTCAGATAGTGATACAATGGAAAGTAGCAAAGAAGATAATGCTGACGAATCAATTTCGTCTAGTAAAAAAGATGAAAATGTAATCAGTGTTCATCCAAGTAGTGTATCACCCAGTGGTATTGATATATTACCAACAAGCCTTGAAACAAGTGATTCTGCTAGTGAAAGGGTTAGTTTTAAAGATACTATTATATCAGAAAATGATATTACTAATGTATCTTCTGTCTTAATTGACGAAAAACCACTTAGCATTCAACCAGAATACAATTCTAATGAAACGGATGCATTTATAGGAAGTAGTAAATCTTTAGAGAATTTAGAGGAAAATAAAGAAAGTCTGATGGAATCTCAATTTAACATTCCTAATGAAAATGAAGTTGTTGAAAGTACTACTGATATAGAGATTAATAGTGATTCATTAGCGAACAAAATATCGAACACAAATCAAGATTCAATTCTTGATGCAGATACTACAGAAAATTCTCCCCAAGAAGCAAATATTAGGTATTTAGACTCCGATAATCAAAATTCAGCTGAAGATTCTGTTATAAATAAAACCGATTCGATAAATATACCATCATGTGAGGGAATTAAAAATGATAAGGTTGTGGAATCTATCGAAGATGTTGTTTCTACAAATAATGACTTTGAAGATAAAATTGATCTTGATCAGAAATCTGAAGTTGAAACTGTATCTAAAGAATTAATCAGTAACTATGATTATGCTGAAGCTAAAATGATTAACTCTGATGATAAAATCCAAGAGAAGTATCCGATGAATGAAACATCATTGAATACTATTAATCAGGAAGCTATTGAGAAAACCGTTGAGTATGATAATGGGCAGCTAGAACTAGAGAATCCCAGTGAAGATAAATCACAATTAGAACCTGAAACTATTCAAATTGCGAAAAAAGATATTAATATTGATGATAAAATGGAAATAAATAGTTCAGTCGAAAGCCATGTCTCATCAAGTGCTGATACGTTAGTAAATAAGAAATCAACAGAAACAAATATCTCACCGGTCCCAGGCACCACAAGTTCTCTAGATGATTTTATACAGGAAGAGGAAATCAGCTCCAAAGTTGAAGTTACACCTGATGAACCTGAAACAGTTTTGCTTTCTTCAGAAAGTACTGACCAAAATCATAAATTGGTACATTGTAAGGAAATGCAAAAAGTTGATGCTGAAATTGCGGATGAAAGTTTAGTAAATGAAACAATAAATATAGACGAAACAACTAAGTTCAATTCCTCTGAAGTAACTGTAGAAGACGATTTAGAGCATAGTAAACGACCTGAGGATTCTCAAAATGATCTTACTGTTATCAAAACATCCGAAGAAAAGTGTAATTCATTAAGGTTTCAGAGCGGTACTGAACAAGTACATTTGAACGATAGCAACATCTTAATTAGTAACAAGCTTCAAGAAGTTGATCCATCCAGTGAAATAAATTCGAATGTTACAGATAGCCTTAATGAAGAAGACGCAGATAGCTCTATGGATGTAACACCATCAGAAAACATAGATCCTGCTGTTATGGAAGTTATTTTAGGTTCTAATGAAGGAACTGCTACTATCAAAGAAGTTGTTAACGATAGTTCTGTTATAAATCGAACTTCCGAACCCGATTTAAAAATCAATGTATCGGAACATCCTGAGTCCGTTTCTACTAATACTAATTTTGAGGAAAAAATGGAAATTGTTAATGAAACCAATAGTGAAACAGAGCTAGAGAAAATTGTATGTGGTAAAGAATGTACAGCTGACATGATTGAAAGTGATATAGTTGAAAGAAATATTGAAACTCCACCAGAAAGTGATATGATTATTGATAATAACAGTAAATTGATTGGAATCAATAAAGATAGTGACATCTCTGTATCTGAAGTAATAGAAGTTAACCACCCTGTTAGTTCTGTTTCTGTAGAGAATGTAGTAGAAATTATTAATGCATCCAAGGTTATTGAGAATGATATCGGTATTGATAATTGTTCTGAGACCAATATTGAAATAGTTGAAAATACTGAACATGAAATTATCGAGAAATCTGATTCTGAACAACTTTGCAACGCATTAATTTCAAAAAGAGATCCAGCAATCGAAACAAGCGAGAAAATTGAAGAAATTTCAGTTTTTGAAAATACTGAACCAACAATTGGTGCTGCGGAGGATACTGAAACTGATTTGAAATTACATGAAATTAATGAGTTAGATTCAGAATCTGACAAAATTAATGAGCCAGATTGTCGAATGACTGATATAATAGAATCTAATAATACAGAACTTGATTCAGTGGATGTTGATCAAACTGAAATAACGTCTATTGAAAATAATGATATTGAAATTAGCACAGAAGAAGCTATTGAAACCGAAATTAGTATTGAAGAAAATGTTGAGGATGAATTATGTACCTTAGAAAGTGACGAAATAGTCGCCGTTGAAGCTAACGTCAATTCATTAAATGATATGGAAAATGTTATAACTTCAGAAGGGAGTATAGATTTAGGATCAAGTGCTGTAGAAAATGTTATGACAATAGAAAATTGTGATAATGAAATGAATGTTGGAGAAACAGATGAAGTTGATACAGTTCAAAATGATGAAAATGTTACTATAACAAGTGAAGCAGAGATAGCCGAAGCAGATAGTAAAACTGATAATACATTTCAAAATCCAACTGAAACTGAAAGTAATGTGGGTGATATCTCTCCATCAAGAAGAACTATAGATCAAGAATTAAAAGTACTCGAAGATGTATCTGAAAGTACAGAAATAAAACATGTTTCCGATTCAACTCGAGATATCCTAAAAGAATTAGTGATTCAAGAAGAGATCGCAATAGATGAAGATTCCGCAATAGAAGAATGCGTCTATGACAGTGCCAGTATCGCAGAAAGAGAAGATGATATTGTAATAACTTCAGTTGATTCTCCACCATACGAAGATGCACTGAGTCCTAGCCCCGAGGAGTCCAAGATGTTTGAGAAAAGTATTGATGTTTCTGATACCATTGGTGATGAAATGAGTATTGATGAAGCAGTTGTTGATGAATCCAAAACCATTGCCGAAGAGATTGATGAAGCTAAAGTTGTACCTTCTGTTGAATTATCTTCTGAACTTGCGTATGATGAAGGAAGTATATTACAAGATGATTCCAAAACATTAGCAGATGATATAGAAGAATCATTCATCGTTGAAGAGGTTGTTACTTGCGAAAGTCCTGAAAGTAATAAAGATGCGGATGATTTCGTTTCTGTTAATGAAGATTTGTCTTCGCCTTTGATTGTTTTTGAAGAAACGTGTGAAACAACTGAGTCTTTTGTAAATAACGAAGTGAATGCTGTGATAAAAGAGAATACTGTTGATTCTGAAGTATCGGCTATTGATAATCAAAATGAAATTTCTAATGATTCTAATTTAGATTTTAAAAAATATGACGATGTGAATATTGAGAAATCTGTACAGAAACATATTAGCATTAGTAAAGATTTAACCAATGAACAATCAGTGAATAGTATTAGGGCTGATTCTCCATTACTCGATATGGAGTGTGAAAGTTCTGTCAACAGTATTATAAAATCTGATTCGGATGTAGAAATGGAAGTTGTAGAGATACCGTCTATTGAAAAATCAAATGTAGGACTCAAAATAGATAGTATTAAGGTTGATAAGCCACCCTCCTCTGTTCTAAACATTGGTAGCGACTTATCAGCTATAGCAAAAGATATTGGTATCAACATTCCTTTGCTAACAACTGTTAATAATTCCTCTGTGTTGGTAAAAGATAAGCCTACAACCACTTCGGTTGCAGACATTAATAGATCGGGAACTATTTCTGGAATCGATCCTAAATTGGAACCGATAACTTTAAGGATTTATAAGGATAATTTATCAGTTAAAACGGACGATTTGGACTCGCCAAAAAAGAACAGATCTCCGAAGCTTTCTTCTGAATTAAAAAGTCAGCTTTCTCCTCATATCAAATCTTCTGATAGTAGAAGTTCTCTATCGCCTACGACAAAGAAACTAGAATTCACTCTTAAAATAGCCAAAGATGTTAATACTAATATATCAAGAGCTACCATGTCGCCTAAAAGCAGTGTTTCACCGAGCGGTATTCACAAACCAGGAGATATTTTGAGGGCAGAACTCACATCAGAAAGTGGTCGAAACTCGCCAGGCTACTTGAGCCCCGAATCTGGACAGAACAAGGTTAAACTTAAAATTCAAAAACCTGGTTTATCTAAAGATTATATTTCTCATATTCATAGTGGTATCAAAGAAGAACCTGCTAAGAAAGATGACGTCGATCATTCTTCCGGAATCAGTTTGCCCAAACCGCCCATTGAAATAGGAAACGTTTTTAAGAAAATGATGGAAACTGAAAAGATTAATGATCCGAAACCTGAAATCAATGCTGACCATTCCCTGAATTCTCCTCTTATGGCTACTCCTATCACCATACCGGTTGTAAGGAAGAGAGGAAGACCTAGGAAAATATTACAGAATGTATTACCTGCGGTTGATCCTAATTTTAACTCTAATCTCACTCCTGGTCTTAGCCCCGGCATGCCCTTCAATCACACTCCTGGTGCTTCACCTGGTTTAGACGGATCTAGTGGACTCGACAGCTCTGAGTCGAGTCGAATGGTACGCTCTTGCCGAGCGAGGACAAAGCCTATTGTTGTTAAGACGAGGAAACCTAGAGGAGGAGGTGCTAGGGGCGGTAAGGAAAATTTGATACATCATTATATTTATTTATTATTTTTATGTATATCTTGTATATTTATTAAATAATTAATTCATTGACATTTACAGTTGCATTATATGTTAATTGTATTTTTTGATTTGAATGACATGAAACTTATGGATGAACTACAAATCGGTCGTACTTTATTATAAATCGTTAGTTCATTGCTAAAAAACATACAGTACATTTTTTTGTGGGATTAAATTTTAAAGTACATTTTCGTGAATTTAAACCTTATTTACAGACTCAAAAACATAGTAAATGTACCAAAATGAAATCTTTTTTATTACAAGTATTATTAGTTACACTAAGGGCACCGAGTTCTGTTTTTACTGAGGAAAAATTCATATAATTACTAAGTGGTTTAATTTTATGAAACGTTAATGTATTTTTCCAATAAACTGATAAAATATTTCAACTGAATTTTCTTTATTTTTTCATCAAAAAATTATGCTTGAAAAACAGCAAGTTGTCAGCAATTTTAAGTGTATTATTATTTTTTTTTTTTTTTTTTTACTTTGTGGCAACAAGTGTATAGAATATTGAATAAACAGTTATTAATTATTTATTTAAAAAAAAATTATTTATTTAATAATAATAATAAGGATTTGGCCAAACGGCGAGATGACATCGAATAATTTGAGTCTGTTATATATAAGATTTACAAATTATTTTTTTAAACCATAATAATATATAACTAGTATAGTAAATAATATAAAATCAGGAGTTAGTTAAGGTTATGTATAGATAAGAAATAAATATAAATGAAAAATATAATTAATATTTAGATCCATTTAATTAATATGATCTAACTAAATTTAATAGAACAGAATGTAATACTATAATAATTTTTAAAAAATCTGGTGCGTGCAACACACAACTTTCACTTACCGCTCAACTTTGAATAGAAATTATTTTCTGGCCATGTTGGGCTGTTATAAAGTTTTTTAATTACATTTTTAACCGAGCTAAAGCTAAAATCTTATAGCTGACAAATCATAAATACCATGAAAATAACATAAGTCCTTTTATTATATCACCGGTTGGTTATGGATTGTAAGATCCGTTGATTATGGACTGTACGACTATTAATTATTAACCTGTTATTTTTCATTACAAAGTTTACTAAAATGGAATTAAGAGATTTGCATTTTCTGTCATAGACAGGTCAAAAGTTGTCACACTAATTGTAAGTGAATACTGTTGAGTATCACAAAGAGAAAATTCATTAAATTATTCACTAATTTACTTTTCTAAAAGGTCACATGATGATTTTTCGGAATAAGTGGACGTTGAGACCTAATTATTTAAATGTAATATCAGATCTAGAATTATTAAACTACAGTAAATATATTTAAGATTATAAACAAATGCTTTACACATCCATGAAATGATTTTATATTTCATTTCATCTTTCACAAAAGCACAATGAAATAGTTTTTTAAACTATGTCATTGTCTTGATTAGGTGGATTTTAAATACTTTTTTCAAATTTAAAAATATTTTAAAAGTTTACATTTAGTTAGTGAATTTAATTTCTTGAAAACACGTAATTTATGTTAAATAATATTAGTTTTCAAAAATTATTATTTATAATCTTTTCACCACTCTCCGTTACCTTCTACAGCTTTCTATGTTAGATATTGTTCTTTCTAAATTCTTCGCTTTCCAACGATATATTATACGTATCATTCTGACTTGTATTTCCGGAGATTCATTTTCGACCTGGATAAGCATTTTTATTTTTTTCTCCTTTATTCAATTATCTAATTCTTTCAAAAGTTATATATAGCATTTTATCGTAACTCTTGTTATATTGTGATATAATTAATTATTTAAAATAAACTATATAAAAGGTACTTTTTAAGCCCTGTAAAGTGACATCAATGGGGATAAGACCTGATTGATATTAAAGACCACTTAATTATACAATGATACACTGAGTTTAATAGAAATTATACAATAACTCATCAATTATACAATGATACACTGAGTTTAATCAAAATCATTAGAGCCATTTTTGAGATAATTGAAAAAATGTGTTTCACCATTGATATAAAGTGGTACTTCCGGTTTGCCGATTTTAAAGAAAAATTTGCAGTAACATCTAAGGCATATATCTATTTTAAATACGTAATATCAGTTTTGTACGACTTTTTGTTTTTGAGCTAGACACACACAGGCCAATTTATGGGACTTGGTTATTTGGACTGAGGGTACCTCAAAATGAGTATTTCTATTGAAAACTCATATTCGAAAATTTTCATGATCGCAATTCTTTCCCTTGCTATATATTGCATATATAGGCAAGTGAAAGTAATAAACTAAAAATACTTTAACTAATTCTAATCAAATCAAAAACTGACACAAAAATGTTAAGATATATACATTTAATAATAGTAAATGATACTTAATATAATAAATAATGTTATATATACAATTTTAAAAGGATATATGTAAACATACCTATAGGCACACAAGGAACCTATAAATAATTATGTCTAGGTGATATATTTAAAGATACATATGTTTAAAGTAAGGAAACAGAAAAATCCTCAATGAACATAAGAAACTTTTTTTTTCTAAATTTAATCAAAACTTTATTTTCCTACAAATAATAAAGAGAACATGTGTATATCTTTTGTTATGTAAAATAAGTATGTGAATAAAATGTGGGGAAATTTGTTCCAAAATGTGGATTTGTTTTATTTACTATTCAAATTATTGTATTTTCTCTGTTGTGTTGAGCCCTTAGTGTAAAATGTTAGAATACAATCTTAACAATTATTAAAGTTCATCCTCAAATAATTATCACACTTATTATCATAATTAATAAATAATTAATTACACATTATCACACATTTTATTGTAAGCTGACTAAATTTTATGATTTTGGTTTTATTTTAAATGTAACGCAGTAATAAAGTGACATTAATTGTCTTGAATGTTACAATTCATTGTCCTGGGATCATTGAGTTATGCTTAAATGTTTTCATGTTTTATCAGGGGACGCCATATAAATAACATGTTTTAACTTTGTTATATTCATATTTTGAGCAAGGAATAAGTTTGAATCTTGATTTCAAGAGGTTAACACATTCAATATTTTTTTTGTTTATAGAATTAAAAAATGATTGGATAATCTAACCTTACGATGTAAATAATCCCAACTTTATCCAGCATATTTGCTAATCACTTCCTTCGTAGTACTTCCTAAAGAACACAGATGTCGTTAATGATAACTTACCTATTGTAAATATATAAATCTATATTAAGTAATAAGAACAATTTTTAGCAATGATTAATAACAATTAACTTGGTTATCGTGGTCACAATTGGCTTGATTGTTGGCAAAATTATGATTTTCTTGAAATTAACTTTGTGAATATTTGTATTATTATTCTTTGTTGTTTATTCGTATAAAATAAATGCGTTTTAATTTAAATGTTATATGTATTTTTTTTTTTTTTTTATATTACGAAATTATTTTTACCTTCCAATAGTACAAATGTTTTTGATCTATTGACACTAAATTGGCTCTACTAAAACAATTTAAAGGAAATTCTTGATAATAAAGTAAAACGCTTCACCTCATTAAAAACTTAATTTTCAAACATTTCTGCTATCTTGCCACTTAAGATGATTCTAGAGCTGATCCAATTATAATATCTATTTTATGTTATTCGTGAGATAATTAATTGGTAAAGTATTTTTTTAGTTTCAAGAATTTTTAATAAATTAGGTCCCTTTTAATTTTATCATTATTTTTTTATTATTAATTAATTTATTGGAATTATTCAAGATGATTTCGAGCTGATTGAAATTTTGATGGCTTCAGTCTAAATTAAATTTCACTAATTAATCTTTCTCACTGAAATCATTAGGTATTTATTTTATTGGCCACAACAAAACTAAGCTTTTGTAGTTTTTTTCTAATGTAACAGAATTTTTATTTCAACCTCATAAGAATATATATCTTGATTAATATTCTTTATTTATGTAATGTACTGTTTTTGATATGTTTATCAATTTTTTTAGGTATGAGGGGGAGAGGTGCTATTTCGAGCGGCGTCGGTGGTATTGTTCGTAACTTAGTGGCAGAAATGGATCCAGAAAAGTTAGCTGCAAAGTTATCAGAACGTGAGAAAGCTGAATTAGCAAAGATAGAAGAAAGGAAAGAAAGGCAGAGGCAAGAAAGGCATGCTAAAAATGAAGCTAAGAAGGCTAAAAAGCTTGCTCGTAAGGCAAGTATAATTTTCAATGTTATTATTATTTTATTTCTGACTGTACTTACTATTATCATATACTTCATTTCATCTATGGTCAAATATATATCTATTATTTTATTTATTATATATATACTTTTTTATCACGAGATAGTCCAAATCAGAATCACCTATATATCACTTAATCTTCTTTGTCTTTTCTTTTCTCTTCCTCCACACCTCCTTCACCTTCTTAAATTGCTGAGACTTTCTCTCCTCTGATCGCTTCTTTCCCCTCATTCATCCTTTCCACTGCAAGGATACTCATTTTGTTAACCCGTTTTCTGAATTCAATACAAACCAAACAATGCTTGCTTGTAATCCCCAGTTTTGCCGTCTCATTCTAAATCCGTTCCGGATATGTCTTCACATTCTTCAGGCATTGCATGTTATAATCTGATTTCTATCCCATTCTTCACCCTTGGTTTTTGGTTTAACCCCAATTTTTTATCCAAAAGGTTTTCATAACCTTGTCCAATATCACATCAAATAAAGTTGATAACAACCTGGGTTTTTATTTAAAATGGTTTGTTTATTTACCTTAACTTTTGATTCCATGTTGATCAATGTGAAGTTAATCGAATTTTGTGTTTTTTTTTATATCCAGTATTCTCATAGAATTTTAAATAGAACTTCCCTTTCCACCAAATCATTGCTTTAATTTTACAAATGTTTTATGTTAATAATTAAGATCTACATGTTTTTTGTTTTTTTTTAAATACAGTTGAAGGATGAAGAGAGAAGGCTGAAAAAATTAAGGGAAAAAGCCGAGAAAGCTGAGGCTGCTGCTCCTCAAGTTTTCGAAGAAGAGACAAGAATGTCTGCTCCTGATGGTGGAAGCCGTGGTCATACTCCTGCTCCTGCCTCCGCCTTGTCTAGGCTAAACCAGACAAGTAATTAATCTAATTTTTTTTTTTTATAATTAGTTAATTAAATTTCAATCATTTAGAGTAACAGAAGGGGCTCCTAGGTTCAATAATGGGGTAAAAATTGTTTACATATTTAAAAATTCTTGAGCCTTTTATTATATGTGAGTGTTACGAGCCAAATATTTACACAAATGCAGTTTGTTTTCTTTTTAAATTATAATGAATGTAATAATCCACTACTGAATTAAAGAAAAGGGAGGTAGCATAATAACAGCTGAGAAAGATTATAATTAAACAGCTGATCTGGAAAAAAAAGTTTCCCATACCAAACGATTAAATTACATTAAAAAACACTTATATTAATAAAATTAGTGTGGTAAAAAAAAAAACTATATATATATATATATATATATATATATATATATATATATATATATATATTATATATATATATATATGTGTGTGTGTGTGTTGTGTGAGTAAGTATGTGTATGTGTGTGTGTTGTGTGAGTAAGTATGTGTATGTGTGTGTATAAATATATATATATATATTTATATATATATAGTTTCCTTTTGCACATAAATTATATTTAGTTTTTCTTGTACTTATAATGATTGTAATCTAGTTTTTTCATTTATATCTTATGTAGGTTTTTTATGAGATTTTTCCTACTGTAAAAAATGAATTTCAATTTTCTAAGTAGTATTCAAACCACTATTATGTCATGTGTAACCATAAACATGTAACTTATCAGTATGACATGTTGTAATGTATATAAAAAATTAAAAATAAATAATAAAAAAAAAGTGTGTTAAAATCATTGTGGGAGCGAAAAATATTTTCTGAAAAACAAATAAAATAAACTCATATTTATTTTTTTTTCTAATATTTTATTCATGAAAATTACATTTGTGAACTGTTACTTTCAGACTATTCAGACTGATTATTAATTCAGATTTAATTAAAATATTTTTAGGTTAACATCGTCCTGTTTTCTTCAACAATTAAAAGGATAGTTGTGGAATACAATCCTTAAAAAATAAATATCATTACTCAAATCTCACAGCATCGTGTTTTTTCTTATTTAGTTTAGAGCATTTTTTTTTTTTTTCTTTTCGAAAACTGAAAACAAACATTGACTTTTTTTTTTTTTAATTTATTCTGAGATCATCGATCTCATTATTTCAGCTGTGAGTTATTTTATAAAGTATAGGAGTTCGATGAAAGAAGAAAAAAAAATATAAAAAGGAAAAAAGTGCTATTGTCGAGGGCTTCCTACATTCCCCACTTTCTTTTGTTATTTGAAAACCTTTTAAAATTCTTTAGAATAAAGAAAAAAAATATATTTTAGATGAGGTTATTGTTATGGATGTTTGTTTCTTTACTATGAAAAGTTGTCTGAATATTTTTCTCACGATTCAATGAAGTTCATTACCGATTGGATATATAATTTGTTGTTTATTTGTTTTAAATGGTTTATTTTTCAACGATATTTGTTTTTTGTGATAAAAAAAAAAAAAAAAACAGTGGGAACCTTTCTATATTAGATAATGACCTATGGTTGTCCAATAGTTCCTCAATTCCTTTTACAATATTGTTTTTAAATCATAAGCCTACTAAAACAATCTATCGTTCTTTTATATGTATACCAATTTATGCTTGAGTTTATATAAATATTTTCTTGTGTATATCTTTTATTATATTTTGTCCTATTTCTAGGTGAACATAACGAGGAATCTCAAAATAGTATTAGTACACCCACTAGCAGCCAGATTAAAAGGGGCCGTATGGAAATTCCTATCGATCCTGAATGGTAATATTTCTTGATTTATTTAAAATAATTTTATAGTCAATGATGTAAGTTAAATTAGGTATTTGTTATCTTAACTTGCCTATTGAGGAGGTTTATTATATAATGTAGCAGATCTCTATGTTTAGGAGCTTTCTAAGTCCGTAACCTCCCCCCCCCTTATTAGCTATAATTTTGTGTGTGGACATTTTAGTCTGTGTCATTATTATTTCTTGATTGGACCTCGTCTTATTATCGGTCACTTGTTATTTAGGTTTTTGGCCCCTCAAGACCTGTGTACTCTGTGCTAAATAGCCTAATAATATATTAATATTTTTGAAGAGAAGAATAGTTGGGGTGGTCAGTCAAAAAAGAAGGCAAAAATAAATGATAATATTTATTTTTACATATGCCGACGTTTCGACCTGAAGTTCAGGCCATCATCAGGGCTAAGAAAAAATAAATACGGCTATGTAAAAATAAATATTATCATTTATTTTTGCCTTCTTTTTTGACTGACCACCCCAACTATTCTTCTCTTTATTATCCACGACAGTCAACCATTTACCAATTATTAATATTTTTGTGTTGTCTGCAGAGCTGAACAGTCTTACAATTTTGATGAAACTTGCTAAAGTTTTCACATCAAAGTTCTTTAAGCTTTTTTATATATGTGGTACATTCCACAGAAAAAGCAAAAGTTATGATACTTTTCGTATTTTTTAAATTTAATTTTTATATTTATATTTTGTTAAAAAGAAAACTAAATTACAGAGTTGATAATTTTACAATCAAAGTATTTAATCACTAGTTGTATGCTTATATTATGTTGTTTAAAATTATCATATTGTAATTATAGTCTCCAAATTATAAAGACAGAAATTCAGTGTAAATATCACATTATTTTTACTATTTATATTTCTTAAAAAGAAATTTTATATCTTACATAAATGTTTATGTATATTTAGTATAGTTGCACACATACTACATTTATATTTAGCACATATTCAAGCATCTACCACTCTTCAAAATCATCTCAGCGATATTGCTGATTGATTAAATGATACGGACAAGGTGTAAAATTAAAATTAATTAAAAAAAAGTGTGTATGTAGTATATACTCTTATCCATAAACCTTTCTCCGAAATATGTTTTAAAAACATTAAAATCCCAACATCAGACGTAATTAGATATTTAGGTTTTTTACCTGGACAAAAGACTTAGGTGACTCAGAGGACTCACATTAGACAAAAACGAATAGAATTAAACAAACGATACGATATTTTATCCAAGTTACTTGACAGACATTCAAAATTATCTTTAATTAACAACCTAACACTTTGTAAAGTAATAATTAAACGAATCTGGACTTACAGCCTAGAACTGTGGGATTCTGCTAAAAATTTCCAACATTAAAAAAAATTCAGTCCTTTCAGTCAAAACTGTTACGAAGGATAGTTGACGTACCGCTTTATGTCGCAAATGGTATAGTCTGGCCAGAGACGGCAGTGAGTAAACATCTACGGAGCGCTTTCTTTCAATTTGATATATTGAGCCCAATTTTGGTTTTTTCTTTCGTTGTTTCTTTTCTTAACAGTGTCATACTATCGAACGTAATCTTTAAAACTTCTTATATTTACGTATTTTCACGCTACTCAACGTAAGGAAAATATAGTGAGAGTGCTACGAGCCTTGTGAGTGTTAAGCTAATAATCCTATTAGTATTAGCAGTTGTTTGCTTGGCGGATCACAACATCAACTTAACTTGACATTAACTGTAAGTTATTTTTTATTATTAAAAATGGTCCAGTGCACGATTTGTAATAACGCTATTGCCCGTGAAGATAAATACAATTTATGTTGTACCAAGTGCAAAGTTATTTATCACGGCAAGTGTTTTAATCTCACAGACAAAGAGATAGAAGCTCAGAGAAGCACAAAAAAAACATGGATGTGCCTAAATTGCGATCAAACTAAGAAACTAAATTTAAACAATGAACCGCCTGTATCAGAAATATTAGCAGCAGTTAATAGACTGGATAGTCATGTTAGTGAGGAAATAAGGGATATGAAGACAGCCCTCGATAAATATGGAGACCTCAGCTTTGAACTGAATGAGAGGTTATCTAAATTAGAAAAACATCTCGAGGGCCAAGCCAAACATTTTGAGGAGATCATTTTGGAAAATAAAGCCCTCAAAGCTCGAGTGGGCGATTTAGAGATCCGCCTGAACAAAACAGAACAGGGTCAATTATCTAGATCGCTGGAGATCCGTGGGATCCCAGTGCGAGCAGGCGAGACGCCCGCGGCTCTGGTGACCAGTATAGCCGCGGGGCTGGGCATCAAGCTCGGAGTGGAGGATTTGGATGTCGTGCAGCGCCGCAGAAGCAAGAAGGATGACCCACGACCGCCGCCGGTAATAGCACATTTCGTCAGGCAGTCAGTGAGGGACGACCTGATAGCGAGAAGAAAAGTGAAGAGGGATTTCTCGACGCGTGATATCGGGTGGCAGGAAAACGACTGCCACCGAATTTATCTCGGCGAGGAGATGACCCCAACAAACAGGCACCTCTACTGGCTAGCCCGGCAGAAGAGAGCTGCCGGGAAGATAAGATACGTATGGTTCTCTGCCGGCATTGTGCGTTGCCGAAAAGAAGACGGCCATCAAGTAATCTTGATTAATCAGGCATCGGATCTAGAAGTTTTCGCCTGACTGCACAGGTTTCATCTCTTCTTCTCGTTCTTCAAAGTATTTTTTGTCTTCATTGGTGCCCAAATAACATTGAAGATTTTGGTTAAAATTTCTCACAGCTCCAGTTTACTAATTTGTTTATTTTCTTACTCTTATTTCTCACTTATTTTTTCATTATTCACTTTTATTTTGCTTATCAGTACTTTTCATAATTTTTTTTCAGAATATGATATATGCCTCATTTCCTCTATGCTAATTTCTGACTGTTTCCCATCAAATCCTCCCCATGTCTAGCATCCTAACCACCTGCCACGTTAACTCGCAATCCCTTCCCGCCCATTATGATGAATTCCTGCAGTACTTTTCTCAAAACTTTTTTCACATCATCGCAATCTCAGAAACCTGGCTCAAACCCTATATTCCGTCCTCATCTGTCTCCTTACCTAATTACACCCTCATCCGCCACGACCGGGTCAGCCGGACTGGTGGTGGAGTGGCCATATTTGTCCATGATAGCCTGAAGTCCCGAATCCTTGATTACTCCCCACCCTCCGAACATCCACAAGTGGAGTACCTTCTAGTAGAAATTACCTGTAATAATTCACCTCTCCTTTACATAGTGATCTACCGTCCTCCCCTTGTTCCATTTGATCCGTCCTTAGAATCAACCCTACTCAACTTTGTTCCCCTCTATCCTAGAATAATCATCGCCGGTGACCTCAATACCAATTTCCTTTCTAATTCCAAAGACAAAACCTATCTAGAAAACCTATTTTTTTCCCTCCATCTCTTTATTGTTCCTTTTTATCCTACTCACCACACCCACAAGGCCGACACTTGGTTAGACTTCTTCATTATAGACTCCGAAATAAATCTCCTCTCCTCTTCTCAACTGCCAGTATCCTTCTTATCGTCTCACGACATGATCCAAATAACATATAATATCCAAACCCCTCTGATTCATCCGAGAACCTTCACTTTCCGTCAGATAGACACTCTCACCCGTGAAAAAATACTACCTGACCTTGAAACCTTAGACTTGAACGAAATATATTCCTGCTCCTCCATCGACTCCATGGTTGAGATCCTGACTTCCAATCTCCTCAATATCCTTAACACCCATGCTCCCATAAAAACCTCAACCTTTCGCCGTCGGCCTGCACCTTGGATGTGTCAAGAAATCAAGGATCTGCAGAAGAGGCGTGATGCTGCCCGCAGACGCTTTAGACGTACTAGGCTTACAGATGACTATCAAGCGTTTAGGGTGCTCCGCAATTTGACACAAACAAGAATTCGGCGAGCTAAAGCTTCCTACTTCCATGAAGCCCTGTCATCTGCCCCAGATCCCAAATCTAAATGGCTAATCCTTCGCAAACTTTCCCTCTGTGAACCTTCTAGATCCCCTTCCTCACTGTTCTTTTCCGTTTCACCTGACGATTTAAATTCACATTTTATTTCTGCCTCCTCTACCTCTTCTCTTCCCTCCTCTTCCAACTATGCTCCTGAGTCATCATTTAATGATGATGACTTTTATTTCTCCTACATTTCCCCGACTGACTTACTAACCGCAGTAATGAAATCCCACACCAATTCCATAGGACCAGATGGCATTCCTGTCAAATTGATAAAATTATGTCTCCCCGAAATCCTCCCAGTTCTCCTTTTCATTTACAATTTCTCCCTACAGAACTCAATATTCCCTTCCTCTTGGAAAAAAGCCATTGTACTCCCTTTAAATAAAAAGCCTAATCCATCCTCTCCCGAAGACTTTCGCCCAATCTCAATTCTTTCCAATCTCTCAAAACCCCTAGAAAGATTGGTGCAATCCCAAGTTTCCAATTTCCTAGAAAAGTCTAACCAACTCGATCCTCTCCAATCTGGTTTCCGTCCCGGCTACTCCACACAATCCGCCTTAATCAAAATTACTAATGATGTTCAGACTGCAATAGATAATAAACAACTAACTGTCCTTATACTTCTTGACTTCTCTAAAGCCTTTGATTCCATTAACCATCCCATCCTTTTCAACAAACTAAAATCACTCTCCTTCTCCAATAGCTCCATCTCTTGGTTCCAATCTTTCCTATCACAACGCACCCAAGCAGTCTCCATTCCTAATCAACCACTATCTGCCTACCTGCCTTTATCCTCTGGAGTCGCCCAAGGATCTAGCATATCTCCTCTCCTTTTTAGTTCCTATATCAATGACCTCCATGACTCAATTCTCCATTGTTCCCACCACCTTTATGCAGACGATTCTCAAATATACCTATCCTTTTCTCCCCCTGAGCTATTGGTAGCATTTACTAAGATCCAAGCAGACCTAGATCGAATCTGTGCCTGGGCAAAATTAAACGGATTAAGGTTAAATGCTTCAAAAACTCAGGCCATTGTCATTGGTTCCAAGCCCCTCCTTAGATCCTATACGGACTTTCCCATACTAAACCTTGGTGACCAGCCAATCTCCTTCTACTCCTCTGTAAAAAATTTAGGACTATTTATTGATCAAACCCTCTCCTGGAGTCACCATATTTCTCACATCTCCCGACGGACAGTCTCTACCCTCAAACTATTCCATTGCTTCCGCCATCTCCTACCTCAACATACGCGCAGACTCCTCGTTTCCTCTCTCATCTTCCCCCACTTTGACTACTGCTGTGTGGTGTATGATGGACTCTCGGTGGAGCTCCGCGACAGACTGAAAAGAATAATGAACAGTTGCGTGAGATTTGTAATTGGTGCCCCGAGATACTACCATGTCTCTCACCATTACACTGAGTTAGAGTGGCTCTTCCCCTCCATTCGAAGACAATATTTCCTAGGTACATTCCTCTATCATATCATCAACAATCATCGTCCTTCCTACGCCTACAACCTTCTCCAATTCAAGTCCTCAGTCCACTCCCTCTCCACAAGATCTCGACCTTCCGACCTTTACATTCCTTCTCACAGATCTGCCTCGTTCCAAAACTCCTTTATTGCACGTTCTGTTAGTTTCTGGAATTCCCTTCCAATCAAAATTCGACATTCTTCATCCTTATCTACATTCAAAACCCTCCTATTCCAATTCCTGTCCCAAAAACAGTCAGGCACCAGCTAATCTTTTATGTAAAATTACACATTATATATAAGACCATATTCACATATAGCTCATGACCTGAATACTTATTATAGATTCGACTTTCTTTTTCTCTTTTTTTTTTTTTTTTTCTGTTTCAACAGAAACAGATTTTACTGTTAAGAAGAATATACATTTATTTTTTCTGTATTTTTTATTTTTTCTAAAAGGGTTTATTTATATTTTAACATCGTACATAGTTTTAAATATCTTAGTATGGTTTCAAGAGTTTTTTATATAGATTTTTATATTTTATTTTGTATATAGTATGTATAACCAATATTTTTTTTCTTTTCTTTTCTTTAATGACCTATCATTATCTTAATTTGTTATGTTTGTTTTTATCTGGCCAGATGTAAAATTTTAATTTCTGTACTTTTTTGTTATTCTGAAGGGACTTCGTCCCAGAATAAAATTATTTTTCTATTCTATTCTATTCTATTCTATTCTATTCTACTATATAAATACTTAAATGCACCAACAATTTTAGACACTGCAAAAGAAAACTACAATAACTTTCACCAGAGACTGACATGAATCCTCTGGCAGAAATCTTTCAACGTACCAGAAACCCATACAGCGCACCACGACCATTACATAGGCGTTAGCCAAAGTACCTTCTGATCTGATTTATATCCCGGATGTGATAGCTGTGACGCTGTCAAAAATTTTGCTAACTGCAAATTTAATTAAATGTTCAACATTTTTGTATGGTTAATAAAAAAATATTTAGAATAGTTGTATACATATTTTATATAGTGAGCACCCCGCTATAGCTCAAGTTGGAGCTACCCCAGCTTAGTGGGTAAGAAGTGACTTTCTAAGCTCAAGGTCCCAGGTTCGAATCCTGGCTAATGGCAAGCAATTTTTCACCAGCCATCGCTTGACCCTGGGGTTGGGAGACCCTTTTGGGCACACCCAGCCTCTATAAAGTGCGTAATCTTAATGAAATAATTAATTAAGGGAAAAATGTAGTGGTTGAGAGTGATCCTTACTCAACTTCCTCTATACACAAACCGTTGGCCTTGAAACAATACTTGCTTTCAGAATACTGAATCTGAATGAAGACCCATTTTTTTTTTTTTTTTTTTTTTTGTATTATTTCATAAATATTTATTTTAATTAAGAATGAAAGTTATATTTTTTTTTGTGTTATAATTATTCTTATTTATTATTATTAACTAATATCATAAAATGAAAGTCTAGAAATGAACCCAAAAGCCCCGGGGACATCTGATATAATTGATCAAATATTAAAGAAATAATCTGTACGACACAAAGGATTTTAGGTTTAGTACTTTGTTAGAAAGTATTGTTTCAAAGCCAATGGTTATGCAAGAGGTTGATCGAGCAAGTATACGTTCAACCACCAGGTTTTGCCCTATAATTAATTATTTATGATGTAGAGATGGTTGACCGTTGATATAATATGAGAAGGTGTTAATCGGGGGGGGGGGGGTTGCGGTCAAATAAATTCTAAATTAAAATATAGTAATTATTTAATTGTTGCCGACATTTCGACCCACTTTGCAGGTCCTCTTCAGGGTGTAGGATGTAGCACTGCGGGAGACAGTTGAAACACTGATAATAATTACTATATTTTAATTTAGTATTTGTTTGACCGCACCCCCCAATTAACTCCTTCTCAATTTAATTATTTAATTAAGAATACCCATTTTATAGAGGCTGGATGTGCACGAGGAGGGTCTCCCGATCCTAGGGTTGATCCACGGCTAATGAAGAATTACTTGACTTCAGCTGGATTTGAACCCGCTATCTTGAGCTTTGCAGTTCAGTGCCTTAGTCACTGAGCTACTTCCCTCTCCAATCATATGTTAGGGATATATCATTTAGAAAATATATAATTTTTTTTTTCTATAGATACCAATATTTCAGTTTGTATTATAAAATAGACATTAATTTTTATTTGTAGTTTTATAAAATAGACATTAATTTTTATTTGCAGTTTTATAAAATAGACATTAACTTTTATTTGTAGTTTTTTAAAATAGACATTAATTTTTATTTGTAGTTTTATAAAATAGACATTAATTTTTATTTGTAGTTTTATAAAATATACATTAATTTTTATTTGTAGTTTTATAAAATATACATTAATTTTTATTGTTATTTTATTTACTAAATTTTTGTAATTAATGTTTCAGCAAAGAGGTTCGTGTCGAACACCTCGCTGAATATCAGTGGCAGGGCAGTGAGCTCTTCATGATTCAGGAACAAGTCTCATTATATCTCGGCGTCAAGTCGTTCAAGAGGAAGTACCCCGATTTGAAAAGGCGGTCTGTCGAAGCCGAAGAGAGAACTTTCCTTGAAGACTCGGGGCTAGTACCAAAGTCGATGTGTGATTTAGGTAATTTATTTAAATAGTTTCTGTATGCATTATAAATATGCAGTTGTTTCTTCTCAGTTAACTTTTATTCATGTTTTTATTTTATTTTATTTCAGGTTTAACTGCAGTTAGTAGTGCGGAAATATTAGATATCATGTTCCAGGACTTTCCTGACAAGTATGAAGAATTTAGGAAATACGTTAGGGAAAAACAGGCGAAGGAAGCATCTTTCAAGCAAAAAGGTATGTTGCAACTTTAAGTTTTAGAAAGATTTTCTGTCTTAAGAGTCTAAATTGTGTATATTATTATGACTTCTTTTATTTCATTCATAATAAATTAATACATTCAACAAATATTTGGGTAAGGGGTAAATAGATTATTTTCATAAAAAGTGTACTTTATATGTTTATAAATGTACCAACTTTTGCTGTATAAATAAACAAAAATAAATCTGTTATTTATTATATTGGGTTCCAGAATAAAAACTATTTATTTTTCAGTTATTTATAAAAAACATTTGTGTATCAAAATACAGAAAAAAATATAGAACATGAAGATACCTTACAGAAATTTCTATTTATAGATAGATTTCAATTTTGTAATATTTTCTTTAGGCTTTAAAAAGTATTAAAACATTTTTTTTTATATCAAATTGAACTTTTCTTAACCCTTTATGATTTTTATCTATGAGCTATTTTCACAATAAGAAAGAAAAAGTTCAATTAAATTTGGCTCTGTGTTACAAAAGAGTATCTCAATTCTGTGAATACCCCAATTCCTTCTTTTTAAGTTGTCTTCCCTTAATTTTTATTGTATGAAATATATTATTTTTTCTTAATAATTTCTTACTTATTATTTTGTTATTATTAAGAGTCCTTTTTGTTTTTGATGAAAATACATTTAATATTTTTTATTACAGTAATTTTTTTGTTTGATCTATTAAACTTTTATTTGGTAAACAGTAACATTTTTTCAAATAAAAAATATTTAAGGTTCCTAAAAAAGTTTGACACATAAATTATCAATAGAATTTTCATTTGTAGAGTTTGAACTGTCTGCTTCATCAAAATCTATAAACTATTTTAATCTATTTGTCTAATTATAGATTAAGTCGTTAAAAATTTTAGTTTTCATTCCTGTATCCCATATATTAATTTATTTCAAAAAGTCCTCACTTATGATGGAGGTAAACTTTTAAACATGTATTTATAAATTTTTATCATATTTATCGATGCAAAAATTGATTAGGTGAATCAAAATTAATAAAACTAATCCCATTATATGTCAAAAATAGTTACAAAAGCTGCATAAGGTCCTTTTTTTCACAAAGAGAAAATTCACCAAATTAAATAATGATTTAATTTAATGACTTTTTCAATAATTTAATCTCTCTATTATATAAAAAAGTTTTTAGTGACTCATATTTTATTTTATTTTAGTATTACGAGAGTAGGAGATAACAGGAGTTCAACTTTTGTAGCCCTATTCTATTCTAGGCTCGATAGTGCTGCTTTCTGGCAATTATTTTACACAGCTGTTCATTTAATTACATATGTGTGTTGAGCTCCTGTTACCTCTTACACTCCTAAGACAAAATAAAGATTTTAGACTAAAAATTTGTATGGGAAATGGTAATTCATCTGGAGGTGGTAGTTTGATTTTATCTAGGTGACAGCAGTTATATTTCGATCTAGACATTTCCCTTTGAATACAATAAATTAATTATTATATTATTTATATTATATTGTGATTTAATTATAATTATTATGAAATAGAATAGGAAGCACAATGTAACGTACAATGAAAATATTAGAAATTAAAAGGCTCAAATTATTGTTGGACTTATATGAAGCTGGACAAGTTGAATATATATTATGGTTATAAATTAGCAATAATTATAATTATATAATAATATAAATTGGCAATGAGGGGCAATTTATAATATAGATTTTTAATGAAATTAAAAATTTGCTTGGACTGTGCTTTCGTTCATTTTGTTATGTTAATAAAAAATAATTCAATGTTAACTACAGAATACATTAGAGTTATACAATTTGAGCAACGATTAGTACAATTAAATGAACCATTATATAATTTGTAAAATGGGGACTGGCCCGCTGTTAGATGGACAGGAGATTCCCATATAGTAATATATATTTATTTTATGAAAATTGTTTATGACTTCTTTTGCTTATCATTTTCCAGCTGTTTTTGCGAGCCTAAAACAGGATAAATCCAAAGGGGAGCCTAGAGAACAGGCATTGGAAGCGGTCGCTATGTGGAACTCCAACCTGAACAGGGAGCGACGGGAAGATAGGCGGTGTGCGCTCGACCTCCAAACCTTCACTGTCCATTACCCCAAGCAGTTGAGGGATAGGATGTCTCGTCCGGTTCCGAAGGCTGGTCTCTACCCCGTCTCTCTTATACCTGGACAATTCTCTGATGCATACAAAGTGTACGTATTGCTCTGGTATTATTAAATAATGAATTGAATAAAAAATATATTGAATTATAATTCTTATGTTATGATAAATTTTATGGACACTGAAGGCTTAACTGGTTTGTGGACTGCGAATTACTAACGATCAAATAAATGACCTTGATACATCAAATCTTCTATTTAATATAAGAATATATTTATAAATTAAATTAAATTACCCAAGGTATGCACCTAATTATATTTTGGCACACGAAACCGGTCTCGCCTCGATATACTCCTACACACTTAAAATTCATTTCGACTATATTTTGAAAGTGCTGGAGATGCCGAGTTTTCGTTTGCCACATATCCTAGCGAAAGAGGTGATAACTAAGAGAGTTCATTGGTACCAAAAGTGGTTAAAATTCCAGGATATTTATAAAACTAATCTTGATATTGCAAATATCGCTGATCTGCGCAGAAAATTGACTGTTGTTAGACATAGGGTAGAGGACTTAGAAAAACAAAATAATCTAGAAAAATGTCTTCATTCAAGTTTTTCTGTTTATGCAGGGCTATGTTCAGTGGGCACTGTTACACCCTATCTTAATGATAGTTTTGATATTGTGACTGTAGGGTCAATTTTTCGATGTAGGACAGAGTTGCTCGATTTAAGCGTAAATCCATGGATGGTGGGGGACAACGGTTGCTGTCCGGTATGTAATTTTCAAGAAAAAGAGGATATCATTCACTTTTTGGGGACTTGTCACATGTACAGTGAGTTAAGAGAGAAATGTTTTGGGCAGCGGACCTGTTCTCCGGAAGAATTATTTGGTTTCTTAAAGGGTTCTAACTGGAAAGCCTTAAGCAATTATGTACAGCAGGCCACATAGCAAATATCTCAATTAGTCAGATAGTAAACTATTGATACAATATCGTGTTTATTTATTGTAACGTTTGTTTTATTGTTATATTGTATTCGATGATTATTATTATTATTGTTGAATTTAAATTTCTTATTTATTGGATTTGTGATGTATTAATGTTTGTTTTTTTGAAAACTCTATTTAAACAGATGAGACAGTGAAAAAGAAAATTGCTAGAATGAATGCATAAAACCATAATAATACTGTAGGATATATTATTGCTGATTTATTTTAGTTATAAATGTGATGAATATTTATTATTAATTACACACCTTGACAGACGAAATTTTCCATTGTTTACGTATTATAGCTTGTATGTATATATATTTTTTTTACTTTGTGTAATTTTTTTTAAAGTTTAATAAACACGTTTTCCTTCAAATTAAATTAAATTAATCTTATCTATTACTGCTTCTTGGTACTGTCTTTCTGGTAGTTCCGATCTTATACTGCTCTCTATTCTTAATCTGCTAATGTTACTGCATCTGGTCTATGCTCCATTGATGACGGTACACATGTTATTTCTGTAGCGTTACGGAACTGACAATGATTCATCCTGGCCAACGGCTGGGAGAAGACTGGGCTGAGGAGAGAGGGAGTGGGGGTTGCTTCCTTCCCTCCTCTATTTTTAACTCTAATGTATTTTTGAATGTGAATACTTGATAATTAAAAATCATTACAGTATATACTACTTTTAGTGTAGATTATTTTATATATTTCACAGAGGAGGAGGAAGGTTGTCAAGGTCATAAATAAAAGATTCAAATTATTATCCATTCTAGTAATGGACTTGGAAATAAGGAGATTCTGCTGAAGTTTATTCTTTCAGATATGATTTGTGATATTATTTATATCATATCATAAATATCATGATGATTTTCAGGTTCAATTACAAACCCGTTTATTAATAATTCATATATTTTACTGTACGATTTTTTATTTTATTATAGTTTTTATCTCTAACAATCAATCAAATAATTCAGATTAACTATATAATCATTTTTCATTATTAACGTATTAACATTTTTCATTGATCCCGACAGGATTTTCAAATATAATAGTTTCCATTCTTCCTTATTCTGGTCACTAAATACTATGTTTTTCAGGGGATTTCGATAAAAGTAACAACAATAAGTTTGATAAATTATTTGTTATTGTTATTAATAATCTTAAATTTAAATTATTATTTTAAAATACAAGGATAGTAAATTTAACATCCACATAATTTTGAAAAAATATTAACGTACTCTATATTAACTCTATATTAACGTACAATGAAATGGTTCGAATCCTGTCTTGGGGGTTGACATTTATTTTTTGGACGATCAATGCAATAGATGTAACTTTCTTGCTCTAGTTAGGGAAGGTTGATTACTACAGGAATATCAAACTCTTTTATTAATTTTTTTTCTTCTATTTTTTTAGAAAAAAATAATTTTCTTGAACATGATACTTAAACAAGAGAAGAAAAAATTAGATTCATAATACTAAAAATTTTCAACTCATGAAAACATATTATCCGAACAACCAAGAAATATTCATACAATGATTTAATCAAAATTACAATTAAAATTCTGTGTAACCCATTAGAACTTGATGATTTTACTGTTTCCTTCTGTTTATTTTAAAGTCAACCTATTTCAAATTTATAAAACAAAATGTTCTTGAAAATATTTCAATTAAATCTTTAACTTTATATTTCAATTATCTTTAACTAACAAACTAACCCTTTATAAAGTTTTACTTAAGCCTATTTGGACTTACGGCATAGAACTGTGGGGTTCTGCTAAAATTTTTAACATTAAAAAAGTTGAGTCCTTTCAGTCAAAAGTGTTGAGAAGGATAGTTGACGCACCATTTTATGTCGCAAATGATACATTACATAAAGACTTAAACGTACCTACAATTTTAGATACTGCAAAAGAGAAATACAATAACTTTTACCAAAGACTGACGTACAACATGAATCCCCTGACAGAAATTCTTCATCGTGCAAGAAACCTGTACAGCCCACTACGATGATTACGTAGGCGTTGGCCAAGAGACCTGCTCATCTGATTTATATCCTGGACGTCATGGGAAACTGTGAAGCTGCCAAAAAATTTGCTCATTGCAAATTTAATCAAATGTTCTACATTTTTGTTTCATTAATAATAAATAATAATATTTATAAAATCAAATATAACATTGTTAATATCTATTTCGTTGAAAACTATGTATTAACTTTTTAAGGATTCTTTCGTTACTTAGCCCAAAATTTTTTTTGTCGCATTATAATTCTCTAGTTGCTTCATTCTTCTTCAGTCTGTATGTTCTACACTATACTTTATTTTCAATAGCCTTAAGAGGTTGCTCATCTCTCAACCTTTTCGCTGCTGTGATTGGAAAGTCACCCATAATGGTTCATGAATTCTTCAAAAAAAGCTCCAAAATAAATCTCCCATGCCATATGTAGACTTTAGTTAAAAGTTCTATTTTACTAGGAAACCAGTAGAACGTAGCAAGGTCGCAACGGCTATACTCGACATTAGCAAATGGAAAGAAAAAAAGTGGAACATCTATGGCCGACATTAGCACTGTGGGTAGGAGTGGAGTGCACCTATACTATAGCCGTCATTAGCTGTTGAAGGGTTAATGTAAGCAGCCACATTTTAACAAGGTTACATCAAGATCAGGATAGATATTTTTTTCTCTTAACCACAAGAACAGAAAAACTGATATCAATAGCTGTTATAATATGTTATGAGGTATTAATTCTTGTTTTTCTAATATTATTTGTAGGTATACTCCGACAGAACTAATGTACTTCCCATTGAACACCGTTATGTACGGGCCGTTGAAACCTAATGAAAGGCAGCCGATGAATCCTTCTGATGGATCTGGTTCGGATAGTTCTAGCTCATCGACATCTGATGATTCCAGGTGAAGTATTAAAGAAATTTTAAATATTTTTTACTGGTCAAAAACGATTTTCATCTAGCTGTCTTAGGTTTAGGCAAGAGCCGATGTTTAACATTCAGAGCGACGTTTCGACAATGTAGAAAACATTATATTAATTGGAAACAAATTATAATAGAACATATTATATTTAAATTAAAATTCCTCTGAAGTTGGGTTTAGCAGAGGATCGTCCTACATTAAGTGATAACCAAAAAAATCCTATCAAATTTTATTTATTCAGGTCATATAGCATACAACAGCGCTTTTTAAAATTTTTTTTTATTATATGTCTTGTATAATGAGAAGCTTGTGTTGTCCAGTACTGTATTCATCTCTACCGATTCCAAATATAATAATAACAATTATTTTGTCGGTTTATTGCAAAAAATCATTTAGTTGCATTTTAATGAATTTGAGATAATCAAATTTGAAGTTTTCAAATCCCTACTTTCGAAGAAAATCCCCTCTTTCAATAAAAACCAAAATTATTTTATATAAATCGGTCATATAACATTTAATAACATATGCTTGTCCAGTATGGAGTTACACATGTGATTCAAACACTAAAAAATTAGAAAGTCTACAAAATCTGTGTATGAGAATTATAAAGGATTATCCCAGATAAACTAGAATAACCAACATGTTAATAAATGATTTAGAATTTCAGATAGTTAAACAATTCATATACTCTCAGACCGAAAAACATTTCAGCTCCACAAACACTTCTTTAAATCCCTTAATTAAGACAATAGGCCATTACAATAAGCAAAGCTTACGAAGATATAGATAGGCACAGAGGTATAAAAACTTGAATAAAAACTGACCAAAATAAAACTGCACAAAATATTACATTACTTACATAAACTATATTCTTTATTTAAATGTATATAGTTTTTCTTTTATTATTATTTTGAGGAGTTGATTGGGGGGTGCCGTCAAATTAATACTAAATTAAATAAGTAGAATTATTTAATTTTTGCCATACTTATTTAATTTAGTATTAATTTGACCGCACCCCCCGATCAACTCCTTCTCATATTATATCAACAGTCAACCATCTCTACATCATTTTTATTATTATTGTTGACTTTATTTATATGCTAATTTTATTTACATTATTATAATTTTCTTTCTTTATTTTTTTCATATAGGTTTTTATAAGTTTTCCTACTATTAAATGACAAAGAGTGTTACTAAAGTTTATAATTTTAAAATGCTTTAAGTGTGAAATGTTGTACCGAAACATGACCGATTTTTATGTACATTTTGTAAATTGTAAATTAATTTAAATAAACTTATTATTATTATATTATTTAGTTTAGAGTAAGAATTATTGGTTTGTATTATTATTATATTATTTAGTTTGGAGTAAGAATTATTGGTTTGTATTATTATTATATTATTTAGTTTGGAGTAAGAATTATTGGTTTGTGTAGTAATCATAAAATTATGTTATATACATGAATTGTTAATAGTATATTTGAATATTATATTAGATGAAAATGTTGTTGGACACTGAAAGCTTCTCTGTATATAACTTATAAAATAAAATAAATTTAGGGTATCGAACCTGAATATTTAGAAATATTTAACAGTCAAATCTACCTAATTTTTTTTTTTTTTTTTTCCTGAGGCCTGAGTTAATAATTTCCACACACTCCTTTATTATTTTTTAATTTAATTTAATTTTTTTGTTTTATTTTATTTTTTTACTGTGAATTGTATTTTTTTTTTTTTTACTAATTAAAATGGATTAATTTCTAGTTCTTCTAGCAGTGAATGCGAGAGCGAAGATGAGAGTGGTGCAACAAGAGAATGTAAAATCTGTAACGGGGAGAAGAAAACCAACAGGGAGTCACATCCTGAAATTTTATTGCAATGTTCAAATTGCAAAGGCCTATGTTAGTATTATAATTATATATATATATATATATTTTATAATTGTTCATCTTTATAAATTTCTTATATAATTTTATTATTTAATTTTTGTCTTTGTAGGTCATCCAACCTGTCAGGAAATCACCCCAGAAATGTTGCCCCATATTAAAAAATACACTTGGCATTGTAGCAACTGCAAAAAGTGTACGATGTGTAAAAATACGACAAAAGATGACAAAATGCTGTTTTGTGATCTGTGTGATCGTGGGTATGTGCATTCACAAGTTATTTACATTTTGTTTTAATTAAATGTAACCAATTTAATGAATTACTAGTAGGCCCGTGCGAAAAATTCGCATAACATATTGTTATCAAATGTCAAATTAATAAGGAAATAAAATAATGCAAGGTATCAAAAGATCAAGAAATCAAATGTTACTTTATCGATACATATAATCGACAAAGAAAACAAAAATTAATTTAAATCTTCATTTCTGTTTGGAACCAATATGTTCACAAATTTCAGTAAGCTGTATCTTTGTTAAAAATAGTCCGATTTCGATGATTTTTTTTTTCCTTTTGTAGGGGATTTAGTAATCTTTTATATAATCATGGGCATAACCAAGGGAAAAGTGTGTAATTTTTTTAGTTATTCGCAAATAAAGTTTGTTTTCTTTCATAACTTGTTTGCCTGAATTTTCGGGATGATTGGACTATTTTGCTCGCCTGAAGGAGAAGGAAGCCTTTGAAATTGGTGGCTCAATCTTGAGATTTGGTGAAAAATTAACGATGATATGGCTTGCCGATCAAAAACATCATCGATAAATAATATAAACTCCTCCTCTCTCGATCATAGAGACCTCAAGTCGACGAAATGAGACATTTATTCAATGACAGTACCACAATTAATGTAAGGCTGTGTGGATGCGAACTCTATGCCTTGCGTTATCTCGAAAATAGTACGTTTTTGGGCTTAAAAACGCAGGATCCGATAGTTCCGGAGGAACTATCCGGGTCTTGCTGTACGCTTCAAAATCTTCAAGATCCAGTTTGTCCCGTATCGATCTACAGACCTACCACTGTTCCAGTATTGAAGCCTAGCAAAATGTTTGTATCGACTTTATTTATTTTAGAAAGAAAAACAAAAGTGGAGAATACGATTCGCTAACCCCCCGTGAAATTCTGAATCCAACGGTACCCCATTCATGGTATTTGAGCATGACAGGAGCTTATATTTGGCACAAAACCGATTTCGAGCCTTACTGTAATAATATATGTGGGGATTGAAGGAAGTTAGTCGACTGTTCTACATATCATGAGTGATAAATATTCAGGATGCAGTCGTTATGAAATTTTTATTAGTGCCGATATTTCAACCCAAACATGTGGGTCATCATCAGGGCATGGTACGAGCACTGAAGATATTCAAGTACTCTGAAGTAGTATTTGAATATCTTCAGTGCTCGAACCACACCCTGATGATGACCCATATGTTTGGGTTGAAACGTCGGCACTAATAAAAATCTTATAACGACTTCGTCCTGAATGTTGGGCACCTGTATCCAATTTATGTTTCGGTACAATGTACTGGAATTTCAAGATACTAAACTGGAGGTCAAAAAATCTGTAGGCACCTTGAATTTTGTCGTTATTTCTTTCCAAACAGAAATTAAAAAAAAAAATTATTTTTTTAAAAATTAAATCTCAAATTTTCAAGGGTATTTATATTTAATAAAATTAATAATTTCTAGAAAATAACTTTATTTAACCCTTACACCTCCTCTACATACTTCAATTCATTTTTTTTTTTTTTCGGCAATATTTCAGGCAATTTTGCCCATTTTCAAGTAGAAATATTTATCTATAATATTATTATACAAAAATTTCAAATATATATGTAGAAGATATAACAGTTACATAAATTACAATCAATGAAAATTCCTAAAAAGTCAAATTAATGAATAAAATCTCTACTTACATCATTATCTTATCATCTATGTAATATTATTTTTTTATATAATTATTACAAAATTATTCTTTTTTCTAATCACATTCTTCTAATTTTAAATTTCATAGCTTATTTATGAAAAGTTACCTAGGACTCCACCTGGACAAACGTCTAACTTGGAATCCTCATACCAGACTGAAACGACAAGAAACAGCTCGACGTTTCAGACTACTTCAACACTTACTAGACAAACGTTCTAATCTTCCAATTAATTACAAAAGACTCATTTACATGACTATAATAAGGCCTATTTAGACTTACGGAGTTGAGCAATGGGGCTCCACCAAACCTTCAAATTCCTCTTGTATCCAATCCTTACAATCCAAAATCCTTCGTAAAATCCTCAATGCTCCTTACTTTGTTAAAAATAAAATCATCCAGAATGACCTTAATGTTCCTTATGTATCAGATTTGGCCCAATCCAGATATCTGTCCTTCCATAATAAACTTCATAACCATCCCAACCCTCTTGTTTCTAACCTTGATTCATATTCAATTCCTGTTAACTCTCCGAGGCATCTGAAAAGAAGATGGCCACGTGATCTCCTAATATAGACATATTATTAGAGTGCCACCAATGGGTAGTTTCTCAACATGTGTTTCATGTCATTATATCCATGTGCAAATTTACTAGAATGAATTTTTTGTATACAGTTGTAAATATCATATAAATAAAAAAATTTATGAAAAGTCAATTCTAAAAATGAAAATAAAAATACTGAACATACAAGACGTCTCATATAAGAAAGGCCAAAAAAAGAATTTTGAACAATTTAACATACTATTTTATAAATTACCTTTGGGCCGTCAAAAAACTAACATTTTTTTTTTTAATTTACAATAAATGTTACAAATTTTCTTCCTTTTTGTACGATAACCTTATGTCCACCGTTTGCTGTGGACTTACTTATTATTATGCTCTTTGGGATTAAGAGTACTGCATTATTTTAATGCTTTAGGTTTCCTATTTTTGATAATAATTTAGCTGAAATGGTTATTTAAATTACTTTAATTTAATTAAAATTCTAATTTATTGATTTTGTCTACTTGATGCTGCCCGATCCTCTTAATATCCATTCTGAAATTAACAACATTTTTAGTTATATATATAGATTCCAAAAACTTTATTTATTTTATTATCTTCATCCCTATTTAAAATTTCTATTTTATCATATTAAAAAAATATTATTATTCATGATACTATGCCTTGCTAAAGCTGTGACATTCATATTTTTCGTATTTATTTTATGTTGAATTATTATATTTTGAAAATTTCGAGATGTTTCCCCAATGTAAAATTTATTAATGCATTGTTTACTATTAATTTTATAAATTATATTTTGTTTATTCTCACTTTTAATTTTATCCTTCATTTTGTTTAATTTATTATTATTATATACCAAATTTTATATTGTTATTGTCATATTTTTAATATATGTTTAATTTTATTAGTTATTCCTTGTATATATTTCAGTTTAAAAAAAAAAATGCTCATTTTTATCATGTTTTGTGTCTTATCCTTGTCATTTTCGATGGTTTTAAAAAAATCCATTATGAAACCCCTTTTTTTTTTTTTAGTTGTAACACTTACAAATTAAAATTACAATTTTACAATTAAATTACCTCAGTGTAGTGTGACATATTCTGCTGTTAGAACGACAAAAATAAGGGGAATACAACGAAAATTCATCAAATGCATCGTAATGTAAATTAAAGTTCTTTTAAACAAAAATAAAATGCATCTAATTGTTTTTTTGATTAAGAGATCTGAGTATATAATACCTAGTGTTGCCTACGTTTTCTTGAATAGCGACCTGTACTCTCGTAGGCATACTACGGATAATGTGGTTACCCGATCTTGAATCGACTCCATTCGATTCGATAGTACTTGGAGGTCACATAGAGGGCTCTATTGTCGACGGATGGACATCCTAAGCTGGTCCCGAAAGAACGAAAAATTACATATTAGCATTAGGTATAACATAGTTTTTTGTTTCAATGTGGCTTGGCATTTAAAAATAAATAACATTTTTCCTTTATTCTTCAGAATTGTAGACAGCGATGATGGTGGAATATTGTAAGATTTTTTTTTTTTTTTTTTCGAACCACTTAGCTGTGATAATTTTTTTTTCTTGTGGGGCACATTACAGATGATGTACCTTGCCCTCATCATGACAAACTAAAGTGAATTGGGAAGTTGAGCTTATAACTAAAGAGAAGTAAATATTGTTTGGAAAATGAGGAGTAAACATTGCTAGGAAAAAAATTTGATTATAAATGATTTGGATTATAAATGCCTAGTTTGAAATTTGATGCCACTCTAAAACTTCAGGAAGACATTGACAGAATAAGTGCTTGGGCAAACCTCAATAGGCTCACTCTGAACGCCGAGAAGACAAAAGCCATCTTGATCGGATCCCCCTCACTCCTCAAATCCTCCCCGGTATCCCCCAATCTCCTCCTGAACAACTCACCTATCTTATTCCACACCACCGTTAAAAACCTAGGTGTTACTTTTGATCAATCCCTATCCTGGAAACCTCACATCTCCCAAATTTCCCGTCGCACTATCTCCACCCTAAAACAGTTCAATCGTCTACGATATCTCCTTCCATATAAGTCCCGTCAACTCCTAGTTTCCTCCCTTGTTTTCCCCCACTTCGACTATGGCTGTATGGTGTACGGTGGACTCTCGGGAGATTCCGAGGCCAAACTTAAACGCCTAATGAATTGCGCACTACGATTTGTTTTCGGAATCTCAAGGGATACGCATATTACCCAGTATTACACTGAGTTGAGGTGGCTCTACCCATCCTATCGCCGTCAGTACTTCCTAGCCACCTTTCTGTACCAAATCATTAGAACCCATCGACCCTCCTATATATTTCACAGCTTACAATTCAAATACTCCATCCAATCCCGTCCCACCAGATCTCGTACTTCCGACCTCTATCCTCCTCCTCACCGAACTGCTGCGTTTGACAAATCCTTTGCAATACAAGCCGCCTCCCTCTGGAATTCCATCCCTGCTGATATTCGACACGCTCAATCAGTTTCCTCTTTTAAACCTCTCCTCTTTAAGCACCTACTCCTTTCTCAATCCGAATGATTGTGAAATATATCTAAGAGAAATATCTGAGCACCACCAGAGACTACCTCAATTTATTAAGGTTATTTTAGTTTCTCATATATATGTACAATTTACTTGTTCTTTTCTTTCTCTTTTCAGTATTTTTATCTTAAGTCAACTTTTATTGTAAATATACAATTTAATTGTAACCACACAGACATACAATCTGTATTTATATTTTGTTCTTAAGGGACAACAGTCCCAGAATAATAAAACATTTTTTCTCCCTTGTTTTTTGAGTTATCGAGCGTATCTTATACCGCATTTTTTCGATTCATAAAAGTTAACAGCTGATAAGTTCAAATTATCGATTCGACTGTATTATATTTTGGTATCTAAAAGTGGCTACAGGTTCATTAGTTCTTTTCGATAATATTAAATTATTAAAAGAAAACATATTTTTCAGGTACCACATACACTGTGTAGGCCTCAAGAAAGCACCAGAAGGGCGATGGCATTGTAGCGTTTGTTCCTTCTGTACAGTTTGCGGGTCCAAAGACCCTGGGGGACAGGAATGGAACTATGAGGTGAGCTTATTTTGTTAATTAAAAATCTATTTATTCACTTTGTTGTAAAATTTAACCTTATTTTATAAATCAATAAAAAAAAATATTGAAGTGAAAACTTCTTTAGGCACTTTTTTTTTAATTTCTACTTACCTATATGAAATATATATTAAGTCATTGCGATCGTGAAAATTTTCTAATCTCAGTTTTCAACAGAAATACATGTTTTGAGATCCCCGCAGTCAAAATAACATAGTCCCACACAATGGTCTGTGTTTGTGTTAACAGTCTAGCTCAAAAACGAACAGTCGTACGAAAGTGAAATTGGATATTTAAAGTTTTTATATGCTTTGAATGTAACAGCAACTTTTTCGTCAAAATCAGATAACTGGAAGTGTCATTTTATATCATGGACTAAACACATTTTTACGATTTTCTCAAAAACTAATTAAGAAATTTTAAATAAAATGTAGGTTTTGTTTTGATATTGTAATGTACACCTTTATTGAAAGTGAGTAAAAAGGGTTTAATAAATTAATATTGAACAATTAAAAGGCAAGCTAATGTAGTTCTACTAGTGCAGGGAAAAGAAAATGGCTGCTCTGTAGTTTCCCAAGATGGAAAATCCCAAAGAGGAGAGGGAAAAAGCTATTGGTTTTGGCAAACAGTTGTGTGGCTGCAGTGAAGAGAGGTTAAGAGAAGATATCCTATCCTGGTTCCAGTGGGTAAAACCTAGAATAGTGCCACCATTTTGGACGTTGTGTTTGGCAGGACATTGGAAAGCATTTGAAGACAAATGAATTTAGTGCAACATAGGAAGAAACAGTGAATATATAGAATCAAATATTGTTTAGTACAAATAATAAAAGTTTGTCTGAGTTGATCTGATTGTCAGTAACACACACCTGAGATAAATAAATATATTAATTCTCTTATAATTTTGTTTATTATTAAACAACCTCTTATTTATTTAGAAAGTATCCCAATAGAAGTGAGCTTCCCGAGATTATATTATTATTATTTGTCAAATATAAGAGGGATGTTACATTTTGGTATCTCAGGTGTGGGCTACAGACAATCAGATCAACTCAGACAAACTATTATTATTTATAAAGGAAGGAGATGGTCCGGGGTTGCTGTCATAAAAAGGCTAAATAGTGGTAAAACTATTTTATTGAAAGCCAACGTTTCGACCCGACTTTGCAGGTCTTCATCAGGGAGGTGTGTCTTCATCAGGTCTACTCCCCCCATACCTGCAATCCTTACCGCTGCCTTTCCAGTTCTAAGTGAAACTCCTAGAGGAACACACCTCCCTGATGAAGACCTGCAAAGTCGGGTCGAAAAGTTGGCTTTCAATAAAATAGTTTTACCACTATTTAGCCTTTTTATGACCGCAACCCCGGACCGTCTCCTTCCTTTATAATGCAACGGTCAACTATTAAATATTCAATATTATTATTTATACTAAACAATGTTTGATTTTAAAATAAAGTCAAATATGGATTAGCAAGCTAACCTTTTTTATATATACACTGTTTCTTCCTATGTTGCACTAAATTCATTTGTCTTCAAATGCTTTCCAGTGTCCTGCCAAACACAACGTCCAAAATGGTGGCACTATTCTAGGTTTTACCCACTGGAGCCAGGATAGGATATCTTCTCTTAACCTCTCTTCACTGCAGTCACACAACAACTGTTTGCCGAAAACAAAAGCTTTTTCCCTCTCCTCTTTGGGATTTTCCATCTTGGAAAACTACAGAGCAGCCATTTTCTTTTCCCTGCACTAGTAGAACTACATTAGCTTGTCTTTTAATTGTTCAATATTAATTTATTAAACCCTTTTTACTCACTTTCAATAAAGGTGTACATTACAATGTATGTTCTCTAGGAGGGCTTAAATGGCTAATTTTCAACATTAGCTTCCTCTAAAGTACCTTCAATTTTTTTTTATTTGAAACAATTGACCATTTCACATTAATATATAATATAAAAGATAGTTAAATATAAAATATGAAAGAATTTGATGATTAACTAAAGGAGGAATTAGAGATCATAACGGAGAATAGTTGAAATTTAGAAATCAAAGGAATACGAGCATACCCGAAACATTAGAACACGCTTCTTTGTTTCTTTTAAGTGTTGGTTTTGTCCATTTCACTCTGATGAATAAGTATTGATGTTTTTGGTTCATCGTATAAGCCGGAAGTATTAACATTTCTTTTTTTTTTTTTTCTGTATTTACAAATATAGTAAATTCAATTCTCTATTCTTCCACTTGTTAATTTATGTTTATTTGTTTCAGTATAAGAAGACGGATAAGGGAGTTCGACTTTACCAGAGGACATTATGTGTTCCCTGCAGTAAAGTAAGTTTATTTTTTATCTTATCAATTAGCGAAACTTCGCCAACAAATTTTATTATGATTTTTAAATTTGCGTTGTGCTATTCTCAGACATATTAGCTGAAAGAACAAAAGTGACAGAGGCTTAAGTTCTAACGTTATAACAGTGAAAAATTATTCTATCCTCCTAAAAACCGCATTTCCATTTGACTCTTCAAAATAAATCGATTAGACCACTAATACTTTATAGAACAACATAAAAGAATAATTTCTTTGATATGATGATAGTGGTAGTGAGTTTAATTAATCTCTCTATTATATAAAAAAGTTTTTAGTGACTCAGATTTTACTTTATTTTAATGAAGAGAAGAATAGTTGGGGTGGTCAGGCAAAAAAGAAGGCAAAAATAAATGATAATATTTATTTTTACATATGCCGACGTTTCGACCTGAAGTTTCAGGCCTTCATCAAGGCTGTCTCCTTAAGTGTTGGAGGGAGAATCAGTTTCAGAACAGTTTCTCCCTGCAACACTTAAGGAGACAGCCCTGATGAAAGCCTGAACTTCAGGTCGAAACGTCGGCATATGTAAAAATAAATATTATCATTTATTTTTGCCTTCTTTTTTGACTGACCACCCCAACTATTCTTCTCTTCATTATCCACGACAGTCAACCATTTACCAATTATTTTATTTTAGTTTTAGGAGCATATGAAATAACAAGAGCTCAACTTTTAACGATTATTTTACAAATTATACAGTTGTTCATTTAATTACATATGTATTGAGCTCTTGTTACATCCTACTCGCCTAATTCAAAATCGAGTTTTTCGGCTAAAAATCTGTAGGAGAAATGGAATCCATCTGGATGTGGTAGCTTGATTTTACCTAGGTGACTGTAGTTCTATTTTGATCTAGACATTTACCCTTGAATACAATATAGTAATTTTTATATTATAATGTTATCACAATTATAATTATTATGAAATAGAAAATGAAGTACACAATGAAAATATTAGAAATGAAAGGCTCATATTATTGTTGGACTCGTATGAAGCTAGTAAAGTTGAATATATATTATGGTTAAAAATTGGCAATTAGGTGCAATATATAATATAGATTTTTAAAGAAATTAAAAATTTGTCCGAACTGGGGTTTCGTTCGATTTATTTTATGTTGATATAAAATAATACAACCTGAACTACAGAATAATTGTGAATTAAAGTTATACAATTTGAGCAACGAGTAGTACAAAGTAAATAAACATGTTTGCTATATAAAGGAGTATTTAAAAAAATATATATATATAAAATCCTGCATTATTTTCCAGACAACCAAATAGTTTTAGATAAGGTTTCATATTAGCATATAATTTTTTTAAATTTCATTTCATTTTAAATTAAGATTTTACTTTTATATGAAATTAAACCATTATTATAATTACTTTTTCTTTTTTTTTCAGAATGCTTTAATGTAAGATATAATGTACAAAGTAAATTTATAAGTATTGGCGCCCCTCCCCGCAATCAATGTGCCAGGACTATACTAATAATAAAATATAAAATTAAAATTAAAACAAGATCATCATCATCTATAAAGATTTTGGCACATTCGACGTCTTCAAGCTGTTATGTGTATAATATAGATCCTCCTTGTTAGAACTTGTGTGCAATTACAAAATATAACTACTATATGATGCAGTTCGAAGATATTGACCATGTTGTGTGGTTTTTTTAATTTATACTTATATTTAATAGATAGACTAGGTTGAGCTTATGTTTTTATACTATAAAATAATGTATATTATTCACTTTATAGAGACGATTTAAAGAAAAAAAAATACTAAAAGGAAAAATACAAAAAATATTTCTATTCCATTAGAATTATAAGATTTTTTCTTTAAGTCCTATGTAAGTTGAACACTTAATTGATCAGCACACATTATAAACTTGAATTTAAGTTATAAAATGAAAATAGAATTTATTATAGAAATTTAAAATATAAAAAAAAAAAATAAAAACATAGATCAAATGTTGTTAAATTTAGCCAGGTTTAGGCCTAATTTTATTTTTATTTTATAATTTTTTTTATTTTATTATTTTTGTTTAATTTTTTTGGTTTTCGTTCAAATTGTTACTATTTATTTTTCACTGGCTGTTGTATTATAATAAAAAAATATAAAATTATATGTATTATAAATAAATCAGTGTTCCTTTTTTTCTTTTTCTTTCTTTTTTTCATATCTTTTTTATTTTTTGGTTGATTTGTTTTTGTGGTCCTTTCCTTGGTTTCAAATTTGAACTTTTTTTAAGATGTATAAATTTTTTTATCAAGAATCAACTTTTTGATAATTCTAATGTAAAACATAATTTATAATTTTGGAATTTCATCAGTGGAAGTTTATATTGTTAAAAATATACATTTGTGCAATTTATATAAATCTAAGTGATGTAAATATGTAATTCGTAGAGATTTTTTTTTATTGAGAAGATTAATAAATTTAAAAAATATATATATAATGTAGAAACTATAAACTGTGCGAACTAAAATCGTTTTATTTAAATACCTCCGCACATAATAAAAAAATGTTTTGTTTTTTTATGTAAAATCCAATTTTTTATTTAATATATTTCACTTTAGTACACCTATTGCATTCCAAAAAATAAACTATCCACTTAAACGCATAGATGTAATATGAAAAAATATGAAGTTGAAATTTAAAATACTAAGTACAGGTAAGTACATATATATATTTATTAATATTAAATAAATGTACATTGCTATGATAAGATAAGGTCAATTTTCATATATGGCTACAAGATATACGGGCTACAAGATCTGGACACTAATCAGCAACCTAGAAAGAAGAATTGAACCATTTTAGAAAAAAAGAACCTCTGCAACGTTACTAGAGCTGTGTGGGATAAAAATCTTAATGCATGGAATTTATAAAAAAATATTAAAAATTTTAGGGATGTTTTACAAATTGTAAATAAAAAAAAATGTTTTAGTCCGTGGTACAGACCCATTTTTTTTTTTTCAAATTATTAATATCCGGCTGAAACTTCGTAAACAGCTTTATCTCATCGTAACCAACAAATCTTTTATTTACAAAAATTCCCAGAATTAGGACGTTTTCAATCTGGAGATTGGCAAACTTGGTCTATTTAATTAGGTACTAGGTGGTCATGAATATCCATTTGATTTCTACTTGAATTGTAAGATAATATGATCACAAAGTCAAAAGAAAGATGGAATACAAAAATATTGGGCCATCTGACCTATTTAATATCATTATTTTGACATTTTTATAGTAGAGGTCATTTTTGTAGGGTACATTTGTTTCAATTTTGTGATCATCTTATCTTATGATTCAAGTGAAAAGCAAATGAGTTTTTAATATCTAATTAAATAGACAAAGGTTGCCGATCTCCAGATATAAACAACCCATTCCGAAAACTTCTCAAATAAAATATTTGTAGGTTACGATGAGATGAAGCTATTTACAAAGCTTCAGGTGGATAAAAAGGGGTCTGTACCATGGACTATTTATTTTCTTTTTAATAATATTTAGATGAAACTGTCTATTTTATTACCTGTGAGTGCATAGGTTCAGACTATTTGTAGTAGATAATATGAAGGACTGTCCTGCCGATCCAACAATTCTCTTACAGTTTGCTAATGATACTTACGTTATACCTTTAACAAACAGCTGATAGTTTATTATGCATAATACAATTGATTAGGGAGTGCATTGGGAGTAATGTTGCTCGGTGGATGAGCACTGACTTCCAGAACTCGAGGTTCCAGGTTTGAGTTCAGCTGATGACTAATAATTTTTCATCAGCTGTGGGTGGACCCTGGGGCAAACCCAGCCTATATAAAGTCCCACTTTATAGGATACTCTTAATTAAATAACTATTTGAGGGGAAAAACCTTGCGGTTGAGCGTGGTATTGCCCCATCCCTGCTCAACCGTTGACCTTGTAACAGATTGCTGAACTCATAACCCTTCATGGATTGTTAGTGGTTGGTAGTTTTTATTTTTTTTAGTGAGTGTGTCGAGGTATATAAAGCAGAGGTGGCAGTATATGCAAGTTATCAAAAGGCCCTCGACAGTGCGTGTTCAGCATTGAAGGGTTAAGATGACTGAATGGTTGAAGGAAGGTGAATAGATGGACAGCCTCGAGTGACAGGCGTATCAGCACCCAATCACTCTCGGCTTGCGTTGTAAGGGATCAGCCTTAACACTCTGCAAGGATGGTAACCACAACCGGAGGGATCAAACTCCGGACTTGTGGGAGGATGAGATACTGCCGAAGGGATCAATCTCCAGACACAGTATATAAGACTGCAAGCGGCCGGATCAGCGTCCAACTTGCATGGAGTGAGAGAAGAGGAAAAAGGTATCAAGTAGATGTTAAATAAGAACAGCAGACTACTGTGAACCAAAAGAGTATATCGGACATATAATGACCAGTCTACACCCTGAAGGGGTGGAGCTTCGAAGAACTAACAACTTTTTTTTTTCCGACCCCTCTGAAACAAAACAAATCATGATATCAGTGTCATATCGGGTCAATGCACTAGGGGAACGATACTCTGAATTACCTTGACCTTTTTCTTCTACCTGTGGTATTTGAAGGTGCGTTGAATGATTTTGGTAGGTTATCTCTTCCTGCCCACTTAAGGTATTGATAAGGTGTTTGGAGTTAAGGGTCCTCCACTCGTTATGTGATAAATATATAAAATAAAATAAAAATTAAGCATAAAGATAAAATAAGGAGGGAGGGAGGAATAGGGATGGGGAGGGGAGGACTGGCCGCGAGGCGGGTTAAATGATTATGTTGGTGGGGTTTATTGGGAGTCCATCTGGCAGGGAGGGGGGCTGGGGTGATGGATCGGAATAATGGGTTAAAGGATGCGGGGAGGTTGTCGAAGAACTTGATATATGTTGTTGCACAAAGTCGAGTTGTAGTTCGTTATGGATGTGTTTCATGTTTCGTCTTTCTAATGTTGTCCCTTTGCAGATCTTCATGAGTATGCTGTTCTGGTATTGTAGTTTCTTCAGGGCTGTGGGATATAGGTAGTGTAGGAGGGGGGCACCGTGGAGAAGTGAAGGTCTGAGTATGGCTTTATATATGAGTAATTTGAGTCTGAGTGACAGCCCTGGAGAATAGAGTAGATGGCGGAGTTGATATGTGGTGGATTTTACTGTTTGTATTCTGTGTTGTATGTGCGCTGTGAAAGATAAATGTAATTCGAGTTTTATTCCTAGGTATGTGAGATGTCTTTTTGTTTTTATAGTTTGACCGTTAAGTTTAGGGTGTTTTTCAGTTGTTTTCTTGTATGAGAATGTGAGGGCGTCGGTTTTTGCGGGGTCGATGTGGATGTTTATGTTTTTAAGTTGGTCTATAATCAGTTGGGCTGCATTTTGTGCTCGGCCCATTGCGACTAACAACTTGAGGTTTGACTGGGCTATTCATTCCGTAAAACTAAACCGGCTACCAAGAGCCGTTACTATAACAGTTATTTTGAGCTTTGGCCATTATATGTTATCGCCATTAATCTTTATTAATAAAAAGTATTTACAATGAATATGCATATTTCAATTTACAATTTAAGTATTATATGATACAACAATAAGAAATAAAAGATGCAATTTTAGTATGTTGCACGGGCGAGCTTGTAGAGCGCTGCTTGGTAGCGGCAAGGTAAACTCGTTATACCATGTGGCAAGAGCGGAAACCGCTACAAGTGCATTATACCATAAAAAAAAGACACTGTTCCTATGCTCTGGAGTGGTCTCTGGTTCAAGCCATGGATCGATCCTTGGGTATATCAAACCTCCATAAAATGGGTACTTTTAAGAGGAAAAATCTGGTGGTGAAGCGCGATACTGGTCAAATCACCTCCTTGCACAACTGTGGACCAAGAAAGACTTCTCGATGTAGTATAGTACTGCAGACTAATTTTTCAACAGGTTTTTTTCTTTGTATAGTAATCTATCACCGGGACAGTAATCTAATAGCTATCCAGGAGGCCTGCCGGCTTGGTAAAGGCAACCTAAAAAAGAAATTTTAATAATAATAATAAAAAGGCTTAGCGAACCCGAAGGTTCGATGCCGACACCACCAATCACTTATTACACACCTCCCTCCACCGTTCGCCGTCCAAACCCAGTCCCTTGAGATCAGTTTTAATGCTGATATAAAAAACCAAAAGTATAAAAAAAAATTTTATACTTTATATTATAGCTGCCATGATACCCTCTGTGTTTTGGAGTTGGCTTTGTTGAGGTGTGCTAGTAACTCATCATCGATTTTCAATCAGTTACACCCCAATTGTGCAATCTTAAAATTAAGAGTGAGTTCTGTTACTTCACCATTATTAATTGCCATGCTCCAACAGAAGTGGCTGACATCTTGCTCTGTTTATGACATCAAAATTGTTGTTGGAGACTTCAATGATCTTTGGG